AAAAAAAAAAAAAAAAAAACGCGCGCCACACGCGATGTCCAGATATTGCCGGTATTGTGCACCCTCTGTTTCAGGGGAATGCCACTGAAAGGCCACTGCTCACCACTGGGACGGTCCTACGGTAGCAGCTGGCTGTGAGACATGCGCTTCGCGCTCACAAGTCCTCCACCTGTCCCTGAGACATTCGTCGCGTCCGTGGGTCCTGATCCCGCGGGTCAACGTCGTGACGCTCTACGTCATCCAGTAGCCCCGGAAGGCTTCCGAAGGGCTGATAAACCATTTCCTGTGGGATGTTTGGCGGAGGAGGCATCTGAGGCCTGTGCTCCTGCACCTGAAAGGGGAAGCCATATTTGTGTCAGAAGTGTGCCAGTCATGCCATGCACAGGTGCTTGAAACTCACTTGTTGCTGTTCAGAAAAAATACCGCCCCCCTAGATACCCCCTTGCATCAAGCGCGTCTGGCCTGCGAGGAATTTGTGTTGGTACTGGCCGTGGGGTCCACTTCCGATTTGTTTTCCAGCTGCAGCTTCTGGATGCGGCGTGTGTGGGCAACAACACCTCTACGAACTGCAAGTCGCACGCAAAAGCGCCGCACGATCTGCCCAAGTTGAGGACAGGTCAACTTGCGGCGTTCAATCACCTTGAAGAACTTCCAACGCGTGAGGTTCAAAACCTCAAGGTATGTCAGAGCGAAACCTCTCACAGGTCGGATGAGAGACGGGTCGGAGAGGACAAAATCTTCACCCCAAACCGCGCCATTGCTGCCCACACGACTGTTCAGAGCAACCAATCCCTTAGACAAGATGTAAAGCACCTGCACATTGTCAAAACGTTCTCCTTGCGCGAAAGCGCCGCACTCCAACTCGCGAGATATGTCTGAGATGCACATCCGGTAGGAGTCTACGTCCAATCCCTTTGCCTGTTGCTGCTCCATGAGGTTCATAAACTGGCTGAAGAAGGTCACTTTCCTTGTCACGCAACAATGTAGCCAGGGTCTTGTAAACGCTTTTGTACGAATGAAGCTGAGCACAGCTAAGCCAAGCATCGTGATCCAAGCCAGGTTTAAAGCAATGCACACCTCGGACTGGAGTTGCGGGCTCATGCTGTCACGGAGCTTCTGCCTGGTGACGTAGAGTGCCTGCCACGAAAGTTTCGTGCCAGGCATGTGTCACGATTAAAATGACACGTCCCCTGAGCGGCAAGCGTCTTGCTGTGTAGACAACCAAATGCATGAACTTATATAGGCTGTGACACCCCGCCTGATGTCGATTCTGAAGGAAGAAGCTGCGCAGCCGACAGCGGAGCTCATACGGGAGCCCCTGCTCCCACATCATGGTATTTAGGTCAGTCATCTTCTTCCGGAAGGCCTGAATTGAATAAGCCAGAGCCAATCACGTTTGAAAGTTAGGCATGTGACACAGGAACCAGAACAAGCGCTGAGCATCAATGTTGCGAGCATCTAGGCTGCAGTCCAACTGATAATCGGCCTGGCTTTCGGAATTCATGTCGCTGACAATGGCGCAAACTTCGCCTAGCACGTAGGCCCAGCAAAGACCAGCCTAAGCTCTGTTTGCACTAGCACGCCTTGTCAGTTTTTGCCCGACGCACGTATTCCAAAGGATTAAGAAAAAAGGGCTCAGGGGTAGAGCAGGCAAGAGGCTGCCAGAATGATGACAGTGCAAACAGTTCGCTCAAACAGGTTCCTCAGCTGACCAATAATGGTAGCACATGCATACTATCTCAAGCCAAGAAAAGTAGTGGAAAGGCATCCCTCAGGCACCCGACGAACTCAATCTTGTAAAGCCTTGCGAACTGTACTTTCATGTTGGACGTACTGCAGCTCATGCATCTTTGGGCCAATGTCACCATAGCCAACAGAGGTCATGGTGTAGCTGCAGAAGTAGAACGCGCTCAGGTAAACGCGGTAGGGCGAGTTTCTCGTAACAATACCTTGGCAGGGGCGTTGGAGGAGACAAGTAGCATCAACGTCCTTCTCTCCTATTTACAACTTTGCCAGTTTGCGGGCTGAAAGTGCGAACTCTTACAAGGTGCTTCGAGATCTCCACACCATGAAGGGTGCGTGGCAAGTCTTCAGATAGTATCATTCCGATAGCAGGCAATGACTAGGTAAACCAAGTCTTTCTGACATCAATCCGATTACCTGATCCCGACACAGCAAGATGGCAAGAATACTATGAAAGTAATTCATGGTTTGGGGGTATGACAGTTGGCTTTCACATATTTACTTTGGGACCTGAGCCGGGTTACTGAGCACAGGATGGGACACTTTTATTCTTGCGGAGGTACCTATTGCTCGCAAAAATGGAACAACAGGGATTAGGGAGATGGTGCCCCCCATAGAGCCTCTGCAGAACAGCCGACATGCGGAGATCAAGACGGGCTTTTGTTGTTGTTGCTGCTGCTGTTGTAACCCATCATTGACAAGACTTTCTGATCCTCAAGGATACCATAGGTCTGAATAATCCTGGCCTTGTGCAAAGCTTCTTTTCTGCAACCTCCGAAGCTCTTACACAACAGAATCATGCAGCCATTGTGTGAGGCCACATCCCTGCAAAGAGTAAGTAGATGCCAAGAGCCACAACCACGAACATGCGCTACGAAGATTAGCCTGACTCAGGACTCATCTACCTTCTGCACCACGCATGCTTCGTCAAGAGGCCAAATTCGATGTCCACTACTTCAATGTCATTGATCCACTGCGGAAATTGGGAGCTTGCCAGCTGCAGCGTCATAGCCCATACACACGCCAACCAATGGCAGACCTCTCCAAAGCGGCATACTTGTCAGATTCGTTGTGTTTGCTCGCCTCATTCTCTAGCCAAGCAGCTAGTAACAAAATAAGCAAAAACCGAGCCAACGCAAACTGCTGGTAGGGGATAGAGATGGCGATCTCAAGTTTGTGCAGCCACCTGGCAAAACTGAGCAAACAGCGACAAGGGAGAAGCTGTTGCAAGTCTGCACTTAACCACATGGCGAAGAGAACGTCTTGAAGCTGCTGAAGGGTGGCAAACGCTTTCTCATGCTACCGCTACCAAGACATGTTTCAGCCCTGATGTCGGACAAATTCTGCTTTCCGGCAAGCTATAGCAGGGCCTGGATGTCTTCAGGATTCGCATCAACCTGGAGAGGGGAATGCTGCAGTAAATCTTAACAGAATCTGTTCTTCTTGAATGCCGCATTCTGTGCTGTGCTGGGCTGTGAGTGCAGGGTGGCCGCGGTGCGAGCCATTAAGTAGCTCTGCATCTCAAACTCAGCCCGTGCAACATATACCCGAAGCGTGGAATGGCCAAACTGCACACAATTTGGGCAAACTCATACAAGCTCAGCCCTAAAATGAAGGAGCTGCGGCTGCATTCAAGCCCACAGCGTGTTAGCACAATCACATGGCAACAAGCCCGTTGCTCTGAAGCTACAAAGCCCTCAGCTCGGCAGAAAAGGATGCCCACAGATGCGCAGCACGGTGCTAAATTCTGCCAGGATGCTTGAGCAATCGCAAAGCTCGAATCGCCTTCGTGGCTTTGCCGACTCCCATGCCAGATGCTCCCGATGTCAGCTCCTTGGCTGCTCTCGTGACCACCCGAAAAAACTCTGAGCGCACCACACAACACCTCTTCGTGACTGCATTGTCGTCCCATGCCCTACAGTCACACACTGCCCTGCACTCACAGCGCGTCAATAGGACAAAATCCCACTGGCGCCAGGAAAAAAACCATGCATACACTGTTTAAGCCCCTCGAGCCTCAAATGAATCCACCGTCAGATTTGCCACTGCTCAAGACAAGGTGCAATGATGTCGAAGGGAATGAGTGTTACAAAATCAATGAAGAACCAGCCAGAGATGTACTGCCGTGCGATTTTTTCTAGGCTGTCTTCCCACTTGATGCCACGCGCTGTTGTCCGCGGATACCTGCCAAGTTCCAGGCTCAAGGCTCAAATCTGCACATCTACAGAAGACCATACATGAACAACTATTGCCTAACACACAAACAAATTCTGAATCCACGCCAGAAAGTGGCATCGTAAAGAAGTTCAAGATCATGTCGATCAGAAAGACCAAGTCGACCAGGCTGCTTGCAATTAGCAGAAAATCCCAGTCAAGCTCCAGCAGACCCACTTGATAAGGAACTACTGTCACGACGAAGGCCAACGCAATGGTGGTGATCAGCTGCCACGTAGCAAATGCATTGCTTTGTGGATTGATGATGTACCACGGCTTCCCTGGGGTCAAGCTCATAACAATGGCTCACGGCTCAGTATGACTTCTTTCTTCTGCCCGCCCCTACAGGCTGTTGCTGCAAGGCTTCCATGACTCATGGATTTGCCGCACTGCAGCCAAGCAGCTTGGTGGTTCGCCTGAGGTGTTGGTGGTTCGGGTGGACCTGGTCCCTCGTATGACCGAGAAGCTGACCTTCATGGCAGGACAGTGCATACCCTCAACTCAAAAAGCCTGTCCGTTGCAACAAGGCGTTCGGACACTGAAATGGATACAGCACTCTATCTTGGAATGTCTTCGATACTGTCTGCTTGTTCAATAGGTGGTCTTCTGGAGGTACCCTGACAACCCTTGTACTTCCTTTGCACCTGTTGTTGCTCAACCGCCCAGACTTTGGTGACCAGGGCTAGGACAAACTAATGCATCTACATGCAGTACTGCATGCCCCATGCTAGAATCTCGAGAAGTTGGCTTAGCATATCCTGTCAATGCTCACAACATCTCACAACACTGCGAATTGCTGAGATGATCTTGGGCTTCCTTCTTCTGTCTGGCAAAAGAAGGCATGTGCGCAAAATATCTCCAGTTGCATGCCGTGGCCTTCTCGTCCTGTTCTTCGTCCTTGTCATCCTTTCCTCCCGGTGACTTCCTTGGAACCCCAGCACTCCATTGAAAAGTGTGCGCTGGACTTGCCATGTGATCGGAAGGTCTCACTTGCCAGATAGCTAATGCTGATGGAAGAAGCCCACCACCACAGACCAACCCAGCAAACCCTGAATCCCAGGTGGCAGCTTTGTGAATCCTATGCGACGCAAGACCTGCTCCAGCCGAAAAAAGGTCCTCGCAACCATTTATAATGTTTTGTAATCCAGTAGTGACCCTCACTCAGCACATTTCATGATGTGGCCAGGATGCGCTTGCCACACTTGAGCCGGCTTTCCTGGATTGCTATCATGGGACTTTTCCCGCCTCAGTTTCCGTTCAGACGGTTTCTGCCTGCTGGACAAGGCAACACCGGCCAGACCAGTTCGTCTTTGACCACTTGCAGAAACCCTACCCTGCGCCTCTCGCAACAATGTCAACAGCTACTACGAGGAACCCCATCTCTCAAATAGCAAGCTGCGGAGGTGAAAAAGAAGGTTGCAATATTGCAACAAGTCGCTTCAAGGGCTCTGACTTTGTGCTGGCCCGTTCAGCTTCTGCATTTGCAGCACCTGACAAACAGCACTGTCAAGCTATCCTTTGAATCGGGGAGAAATTACGAGTAGAATACGTTATATACGTTACTAGCTAAGGGAGTTGAAGCCGATGTGCCCAGACCCGCACGCAACCACACTCTCAATATTGCACTGTAGCACCCAAACTGAGGCACCGAGTCACAGCTATTTGCAGCGCCTCGAAGCGACGGGCTGACGGGGCTGCTTGCAGGCAGTGCCCGTTCCAGCGACGTCTGTGCAATTTTCAGGCCCTGCTTGCAACAGGCAAGTGCAATATCTACTGGAATCAAAGGAACGGGTCTCCATGAAGTTCACTTCACTACTGCGGGCCATAAGCATAATTGTGCCTGATTCTCCAGCTCAAGTTCCCGCAGGCGGGCGGACTGCCGCTCCTTAGACGAGCAGCTTAAGGGCCCCTGGCTCATCTCGGAGACTGGAGCCCTCACTGGAGTTTGTATTTGCAGCCTAAAGTCCAACTCAGAAGAAAGCTGCTGCAGGATCTTCCGCCATTGATCTGCTGCCATGGCAGCGGCAAGCAGTTGCCTATCACTGCATTCTCCTTCAGAGAACGCGGGAGATGTGATGGCTGCGGCCACACAGCAGGCAAGCGGTATCTTCAGGTCTGCAGGTACTGTCTTCAATTCCCAACTCACTCGGTTGAGTTCCAACTGAGTAACGTTTTTTTCGTGGTTCAACCCAGTAAGATTATATTCCTTATAGAGGGTATTATAAAATACTGTATCCCAAAAGAAGGATAGAATCTTTACTCTATATTGGGCACTGTAGTATCCCCAAGTAAAATACTACTCAACTGAGTCGAGCAGGACTTCAAACACAACGCCTGAATGCCAAGCTCATGTCAACATCTTGGGTTCAAACGTGCTCGACAAATGCACAATCTGCAAAGCAAAGCGAAACACCCTGCAGGCTTAGCCCTCCGGGCAGACCCGGCTAACTGAAGAGCGGCTCTCACAGAGTTCCGAATTTTGAAGAGGAAGGAAATCAAGGCACGCCAACCTGCATTCCCCGTCAGAGATTTCGGACAATCCGATTCCTCTGCTGTCTTGCACCGGTCCAGCGCCGACCGGTCTAACTGGAGAGGCCTGCATAGCAGCTCAGGGGAGTTTCAAGGCACCCACTGAGACTGCAGTGTATCCCCCTTTCCATCTGAATCTGGAGCTACAAAGACGTGGGGCCATTCCTTCCAGAAAGCCTTTTCTGTTCACTTCCGGATGACTTCAGCTACCAGCTTTGGATCCGCTGCAAGCCCAGTACCTTTCACGTGCTGGGATGTGGAGATTTGCGAATCGTCTACGCCTGCAAACCTTTTAACAGTCACTTAGCCGCTTTCAAGGTAAGAGAGACTTGCTGAACGCTGAGCAGTTGCTATTCACAAAACAGCCCGGCAGGGTGAGATTTGACAACTAATCGTAGCCATTGCGCTAGGGCCTACTTGGTAGGGTTTGTCGAAACATGTTGGAATGGTTCAGCTGAAGCACTGGCATCGTGCGTTCCTTCTGCTAGTACCTGGCTGATTGTTTGTCGACTGACAGCTTTGGCGAGAATGCGTCATTACAGATACTGGCAGAAGCCTCAATTTTGACTCAAGACCGAAAAAAGATTGCGGAAGTACCAGGCTCACTCTGACTCGCATGCCAAATCATCCATGAAACACCCCCGTTCCCTGCCCTGCACCCAGGTGTGGCCAACTCGCCTCCGTGCAGGGTTGATAGACACTTCGCCATAGACCCGAAGCCAAAGGTCAACGAAGATGCGCAGCTCTTGCACCAACTGGTCCTCTGATTTCAAAAAATCTTGTCAATCTGAACCTTCAAGAACAAACCGGAAACCGAAGGATGAACCGAACTCTTCTCAGCTGCAAGCTGCTCAAGCTGCTCCCACCCCTCCCCTTCCTGATTCTTTCTTGAAGGCTCCTGGTCATGTTCTGGCACACGTGAGCACCAGCTGACCAACTGGCTGAGAAAGGCCGCAAAGTCTTTCTTCCTCCGCGAAGCAAGTCATGTCTCAATTATTACAACTGAACACGTGCATTGAGAGCATCGGTAGCTATGCCGATCAGTAGGAAGTGGCAGCTACATCAGCAGGGAGTGATCATACCTCCGCGTAGCAATCATGCAGATTGCCTGTCTGCAAAGTTTTGCTCTGCAAGCAGGATGTTTGATTCAGAGACAGCTCGCAGCTGTTCATCCTGAGATGAGAGACAGCCGCAAAGGCTCTGTCTAAGCTCTACAAGCAGGCAATCCATACTCTCTTTGCGCACTTTTAGCAGCCAAACGACCTGTTGGTGTTGACTTCTCACTACACAACATGCAAGCATGCGCAAGCGAGCCAAGCGAGCTTTATGTTTTAGCTAAGTGACCATCTCCTGGATGCATCTATGATAGGAATCCGACAGCCGCTCTTTCTCGTGCTTGGCCTCCACAACACACAATGTTACAGCACTTGAGCAAAGGAGAACTGGCTTGAATTTCTATCCAAACGGCACCATAGTCTCTCCAGAGCGGTATTTGACAGGGTGCGGCGTCCGATTGCTGCTTACAAGCAGGATCGTTGAAATATGCCTGTCAACAAAATTGCCTGAAGTAGCATGCTTGGACCGGCAAGCCTGTCGCCTGCCATTGCCTACTTTCTGCCTTTGTGCAGTTTCAACTGCCGTTTTGTCGGCATCAGGTTGTCTGCATGTCTAGTCCTATAGTGCTGCAGCAACAGCTTCAGTCACGACTTCCGGGTCAGCAATAGACGTCCTGCAAATCAGAAGGTGCACAACTCCCCAGATTTGGACCAGGGCAAATTTTCGGACGCCGAGCTGGGCTGGTTTGTCCCCAGAGTCTTGGCTGGACACATGGACCTTGAGAACGTCCTGCGCTTTCTTCTGGCACAGACCAAACAACTTCAAATCGCTTCCCCAAGGTGACTGGTCCTAATTCCTAAACGAGGTTGGACTCCATGGAGAATTTTGGGTATCACGCCAACTCCTCATCGTAGGTACGTCTAAATCTAAATCATTGCAGCATGGCGCCAACAACCTTTGGTCTTCTGCAGTGATGCCGAGCCAGCCTCCTGCAGCCGAGACTGCACGCGATCGTCGTAGTTAACGGTGAGACATATCCTGGCTGGGTAACCCTCCCCTCCCGATGCGTGAAGGCCTATGTAATTGAAGTCCAGGTCCAGATTGAGAGACCTTTTGCATAATAATTTGTGCGTTGCGCATCCAAGGTAATTAAAGTTAAGCAGCTTCCCACGCACGACGACAGCTCTATCGACTCTATTGCAGCCTGGATTCAACTGGAAGGTGCAAGGAAGCAGGAAAAGCGTGTCAAGGAGCTCCACAGCACAGAACCTTGCAGCAACTAATGCACTGCCAAAAGGCCTTTTGCAGTGGTTCGCCTGGCTTCAAGCAACATGTGTGTGTGCAGGTATGAGCTCATATCGGTTACAGTACTGTCCAAGCGACGTGCGGAAGCCGTACCGCTGGTTGACAATGCAGCCATGCTGGTACGTGCCCACAGCATCGCGAATCCTTGGATGGCTTCAGGCTAGAAAGCTTGTCTACATGGCCAAGGCCCAAAAGCTCAGAAGAAAAGCTGTGAGTGCACGGCGGTTCTTCTTAATGCGGCTTACCAGCTACGGAGCCAGTACTGGATCGTGCAACAGAAGCTCTAGGACTGTGTAAATCTGTGCCGCTAATGGGAGGGTCATAGCAGGATCAACTATACAAGAAAGCAAGCTGAGCATCGACAAGATGACACCAACCTGAGCTGACTCTGGGCAAGCGCAACCGGCACAGGCTGGCAATCCCCACAAAGGCCCCTTCAGGCAATGTGGCGACTGTTGGGAGAACGCACATAGGAGCACTGAATCAAGTTAAGGTGAGATACAGAAGCCGCCAAGAGCAGGCTCACTTGAGTCAGGTCGTGGATGTATCCTTGGGGCCCGGTGTGCGAAAAAGAAGCATGCCACAAGAGTCAAGAAGTAGCTATCATTTTCCACGCGCAATGCAGGCAAGATTCTGCAGCGGAAACAAGTGAGCCGTGCCCATGCCGCACTAGCAGCGCTCATTTTTGCTACGAAGGCTTGCTACGAGGCTTGCTGCGTTTGGTGCCAGGGTGCTTGTGAGCAACCGTCCTCTTTGAAAACCATTCTGCAGCCGCACAACTTCCTAAGGTGCAGGCATCAAGCCCAAACAGCTGCGGCATGACCATGTCCTGCCTGCCACGACTTCGCAAGGACTGCCTCTCAAGTTACCAGTGACATCCAGTGACCAACCGATGCCAAAATTGACCCCCGTCGTTTAACTTCAACTGCAGTTTTCAACTAGGATCAACTGGGCATAAACCGCATCCACCATTAGCAGTAGCGGTGGTAGCTTCAATACATTGCCAAGGAGTTGTCTTTGCCAGCTGGCCGTCTCAGGCCCAGACTTTTTCAAGGCTTCTTTTGCGAGGGCTTCGAACAACCTGTCCTTTGTTGCACAGGCGGCAACTTGCAATGTCTCAGACTGTGTGGAAGAGCCCATCCCCGGAATTGAGTTCCCAAGAGGGCGATAATCGCTTTGTCCAAAAACAATCACCAATGTGAGACGATGGCACTTGGACAGATTGGGACGGCTGACTGAGGTTGGACGGACGAAGATGCACTCTGCATCTGGAAAGTAAGTAGCAGTGGCATGTGGGAATATGACTTGCTGCGGCCGCAAACTTCTTTTCGGCAAGATAAGTCCCTTCATGTGTCCTCCTCCTCAGGTGGGAGGACATGATTCAAGTAGTCTCTGGCATAGTCCACATCGCGCTGGTTCAGGAGAGTGTGTACGTAATCCAGGGAACCAAGGACTGCCATGTCAACATCTTTCCGCGAGCCTGGCTTGAAGGTTGGCCAGCCTGTCTTGCCCTCCTCGCTCTTCCAGAGTCTCTCCCAGTGCTCGCGCACATGTAGCTTGCCTAAGGAGACGACGATGGAGCGCTGGCCATTATGAACATCGATCATCCAGTCACAATCTTCGAGTTCGACTGCACCCCAGAGCTCCCCATCTAGCAGTGGTTCTTGTCCTTTGCATCCCAAGCGAAGGCGGCCGTTCGCAAGCTGAAAATCAATGTCTGATGGCCTTAACTCATCCCTCAAAGGTATGTAAATGCGTATCTCCTCGTTGTGTCGACCAGCAGGCTCCCAGGTGTAACATGGGCGAAGGATTTCCTCCCACGTCTCAACGCTGGCTTTTGCCAGATACAATACCAGGAATCGGCCTTGCTCTCGATTTTCTAATTCAAAATACGTATCATCTACATCTGCAAGGCCCCACAGCTCACCTTCTATCAGTGGCTCTCCTCGCAAACAGACGCGAAGGTAGTTCTCCTTCACATCCAGCTCAACATGCCGTGCAATTGTATCTTCTGCCACCGGCATGAAAACTCGCAGCTCCTGATCAGCCGCATCGCCTTGCTCCCATCGGAAGCTGCCAAACAGCTTACATCTCCTACGTCGGACACTAGCACATAGCATTGAAACGGCCGCGCACACCAAGGAAGAGTGCGCAGCATCGAGGGCTCCAGGGAGGGATGTAGCTGCAGGTCTCAACACCGGCATGCGCGCCCATGGCTTCACAGGGGTGTGAATTTGCAAGGCCATCTACACTCTACACCAAGAATAAGCAAGGATGCTTGTGCTCGGATGCAAGTTGTAGTCGTTCTTCCACCACCGTGCGCAGCACTGGCAATAAATGTGGACAAAAATTGATGGGATTACTGTCAGGATCAGGAATAGAATCATGGCTAAGCCTTGCGGCTAAGCGGCTACATGTATTGCAGGACGGAGCGACCGCAGCATGTTCTCAGGTAGGACGGAAGCGTTGCCACTTTGTCAAGCAGTAGGATGACCGCTTTGTTCATCCATAGTTGTAAAGCGTGACTCAGCATTCCCCAAACATGGTTCCGTGACTGTCCGCACGGCATAGAACGGCATGCACGATGTGTGAATGCTTACTCGCGTCTCTCGATATCAACGTTTTTCTAAACAAGCTCCCAACCAGCTTGAGTGAGCATAAGGACTCTTCCCTTTAGCTCAGCCCAGTCTATAAACAGTTCCTGCACAAGTCTCGCCGAGAAACTTTTATGCCAAGGCTCGCTGAGAAACCCGGGCTTCCCAAAGGCTCAGCAAGTGTTGCCAGTGTCCTTCGCAGCGAACACATTCCTCTCAAACAAAACTGCAGGCTGCCCAGCGGCATACCCAATGAGCAAAGATTGGCTCTGCAGAAAAGGCCACAAGCCACCTGTCCTGAGGGCAATGTAGCTCCACCTGACATACGTGGGCTAGCCATGTCGAAATGGAAGGAGGGTCGAAGTCCGCAGACCCCAGTCTCAACCCCTAGATTTTGCTCTGTCTCAGCATCAGTCACCTATGCAAGGCCTTCTGCAAAGCCTCATGGCCAACAGCATCCAGCAGCACCTGGAACTTAATCACATGTTTGAGAAGAGGCCCAGCTGATGTGAGAAGCCATTGCTTCTCTTCAAAAAGACAAGTCAAGCATCTAGCAGCAGTGTTGAGTGCAAGCTGGCAGGGCCCGAACTATGTCGTTTGCACCCGGCGTTCCAAGTGCTTGCACCTCGTCTCGAGATGTAAAGGCTTGAGCAACTGCATTGAGTTTTGCCCGAACTTCTCGCACCTTCTTGCGCCGTAGAAAAGGATTAGGCTCTGTTCGATTTGCGCTGGGATTGTCTGAACCACCATCTTCAAAGACATCTCCAAACAGCAGATGATGAGCAAATGTCAGCAATTAAACTTATGTACATTATATACTGGCTCCAACTCTTGCTACCGCAGTCATGGGCCCCTGCAGTGTTGGTCAGCGCTTGGGGCTCAAACTGGGCAATGTGTCTGAGCCTGGAAGCGGGGCTTTTGGACAAGCGCAAGCTAGGCGACGAGATCAAAGTCGAGCCGGCCCAACTTAAGCGCATGCAAAATCCTACATGCAAGGCATGTACTTTTCACCTAAGACGCGTGCCACGCATCACTTAACCGTTGCCCTCCAACAACCCTGAAGCTTGGGGGTGGATTGCCTCTCCGCGCAAGTTGCTTCTGCCGGAAACCTTCCAGTCGTGAGAGTCAAAACGTCAACGGCAAGCCCGAAATATTTAGGGGCGCATACGCTTGAAACAAAAAGCGTACTTCCTCTGAAACTGGCAAACACGGGACAAAGGGCCAGCCTGTTTGCTGCAGCCAGTGTGGCAAGATCTTGAACTGAATTGGCCAGGTTCTGCACACTGTACCCTGCGCAGCAGGCTTCATAGCTTTCAAGTGAAGCACAGGGAACACAGAGTGCTTCAAAGAGTTACAAGTTCGGCTACCAGCCCTGGATCTGAAATCCTTTCAGCGCGGGATCCAGCCTTGTATCTTGTTGACGCCTTCTGCAGCAGCGGCGTCCATAAGTGTCATGCTCAGGGTCTGCGCTGTCGCCGTGGCCCGCACCAGGTTGGATAACTGCAGTGGTGACAGGACAAGTAACGTAAAACAACTTGCAAGTTGAAGCAAGGCTCCATGGTCGAATGACTCTTCTGCACCCAGATGCTGCCCGCAGCTTGAGTCGATACAGATACATTCAGTGAGGTATCTACACGGGATTTAATTTTGTTTGTGGGACAACTCTACCAGCCTCCTGCGGCAGACATTGCTGTAGCTTTGGCATCGCTTGTGCGGCAGCAGACTCGACCAGCTGCAACCTCGTCAGCATTGTTCCCTGCTAGGAGAGCACTACTAGTCGCAAGATGTCGCGAGCTCTTGTTACGCCTTGCTGCCCATGCCCAGCATTCCGCAGGATGACTAGCTGCATGCTTCCGGCTTCCTTGCCCGCCACGTTGATCAATGCTTCAGGGGCAAGCCGATGCCAACAAAAACTGGTCAGGTCTTCCACGCTTCAACACAGAAAGTGATGTGATTTGCAGGATGACCACGCAACGTCGCTCAACACTACCCGAGAAGGGATATCCGAGCCAACAAACGAGCATGAAGGCATTCGCGCCATGACCGTGCAAAGGTTGCCGGACACTGCCGAAATAGTACAGAGGTCAGAGATGTACAGAGGTGTAGTGCAACGAATTAACCCAATCTGGTTCGTACATATTCGTACCATGACCATGCAAGGGCAAGGAACTCTAGAGAAGGTAGCAAAGTTTGACATTTGATGAGACCACCAGGCATGATGTTATTCATTCGTACCAGTGGAAGGGTAGTGAGCACTAGACAAAGTGCGATGAAATCACCAGGCATGATGTTACTCGTGCCATGACCATGCAAGGGTAGTGAACACCGCAGACAGAAGTAGAGAGGTTTAATGCACCCACCAGGCATGATGTTATTCATACCAACAAAAGGTAGTGAGCACTACACAAGATTCGTTGCACCTACCATGATCTTGTTCACACCGAGACCATGCAAGGGCACTGGGCACTACACAAGGAGGAGGGAGGTTTGACGCAACCAAGCACGATGATCCCCCTAGGCTGCCTTCCCTGTGCAAGAACCAATTTCGAAAACCCCACCCCCTGAAAAGCTCGTGCTCCTATGAAGGAATCTAGCTTGTCCCATTTCAACCTGCGAAAGAATCAATGACTCGCTGCTTCCTAGACCTTTCCTGCCCCTACCACCCCTCAAGCAACGCTGCCGTGATTTAAGGCCGTTACTCTGAAGTTTTCAGGCGGGTAGAAGTTTAGGCCGTGTTGGTGAGATCGCGCGGTCGGTATTGGTGCACCTGCACAGGGCGCAGTGGGTGTGTTAAATGGTTTGCACCAAGTTATACCACATTCCTGGTCCAGCACTTGCGCGCAGTCCCTACCCTGATCTTGCCTCAGCTACATGGGCTGGCCTTGTGACGGACGACTTCGCAAAGAGCTTTCTCCAGAGCCCTGCAAGAATACATCGAACCTCGCAGGTTTGCATGCTTCTTATACCGGCCTAGCTGGAAGGCTCCTCTCAGCCTCTCGGCTTTTAGAACCAGATTGCTCTTGCAATCTCGTTGGCTTGCTGAGAAAAGTACAAGGATGTCAGCACGGAACAGGAGACAGGAGGAGAGGGGGTCAAAGGTGACTTTGGAGAAGCGCATGTGCATCTTTGGGCCGCAGTCGCCAGGGTTGCGCGTTGAACACTGCAAAGAGGTCTTCTTTACTATTTTGGGCGCCGTCTTCCAGATTTTCAGGCCAACATGGGAAGGCCTTCTTTCATGTGCTTCGGCTTTGGGATCGTCTCCTTCAAATCAAAGTTTCCAGTGCCTTGTGAACGGAGGGAGCCTCAATGAGGGACCCCATCTTCATTTGCGGCCCCCTGAATTGTGAGCGGGAGCCCCTAAATTCAAGCCTTACTGAAGCAGGTCCGACCGAAAGGATGCACGACAAGGCTAAGATCACCGTTTCGGACTCCCAGAAGCAGCTAGGACATGGGACATGGAAAAACACGGAGCAGCAGCCCCCATCCATCGGAAGCGTACAAAGAAATCCCAGCAGTGATGAGATAGTGAGCCGCCATTTCAAAACGAATTCGTGTTTGATGCTGTGCAACGTGATTTGGGCAAATGCTAGAGCTGCCTACTATTCTTTAGGAGCCTGGATGACACCCAAGAGAGGTGCCGCACGACACAGAGCTCTTGCCCGGACACATGGGTGGTTGTCAAAATGCCCCAAATTGGGGTACCGTAAATTGAAGGGTGCATCCGAGAACACGGGTTCCTTTGACAACTACAAAACTAAGATCGGCACGCGCAGTCGCCCAGCAGCTGTTCACAAGCTCCTGCAAGCTACTAGCCCAACACTTCGAGCTCGTAGCATAGGCAGAATAAGGACTGAGGTGACTGAGGGCACGCCTGAACCGGGAACTCTGGCAGCATCTCTGTGCCCCGTCGGGCCAAAGCGTCAAGTGCTGAGTTGTGGAAGTGGGCCAGGGTGGCCAGGGTCCTGGCAGCTCCAAGTAAAGGACGCCCCCAAAAGCCTCACTCCATGTTCATTAATGCAAACTGTAAAGGTTTTATGTCTTGTTGAAACCGATGTGCCCGGTCAGAGCTAGCAAAGTCTGAGGGAGCCTGGGCTGGGCACAAAATGAGCACAGGCTGGCATCTTTAGTCTTTGTGGCCTTAAAATACCCAGGCCCTTGAGATTGGCCGCATGGTGAAACTCAATGGAACAGAAGCTGCAAGACCCTGCTTTTGGCTGGTTCCTGCAGCCCCGGGCATGAATGACATATCTGTGAGCGCAATACTTGCAGCTCCTCTAGAGGTAATCCACTACTGCATGCCTAAACTGAATTCTCAAGATGATGGAGAGGTACAGCAAGACTTGCAAAGCCAAAGCAATCGCTTGCACAGGACTATGGCAAGAACGAACCGAATTGCTTTATGTTCATTCATGCCTCCTGTTGTTCTGAGCTGTGGGACGCGGTTCTGGACTCGCCCTCAGGGACTCTCTGCATGCTGGCACCGTTGGTGGCAGCTCCTGCAGGCCAATCATATCCAATCATCTTCCAGCTAGTGAAGCATGGAGGCCGAAACAAAACTTCACCAAGAAATCAGACTTGGCCTGGCTCGCACTTGCCCGACAGCGCTCGCCGCAACGTAGGGTGGTGCGCGTTCCCGTCCAAGGAGGGCGGGACGGATGTCCTGCCCGGTCCCGGTCCGCAATGAGAAAAACAACCCAGCGAACCAACCGCGAAGGCGCGGTGACAAGCTCAAGCGGTCTGCAATTATCCGGGCCGCATGCGACTGCATCGCCAGCAATACCGAACACCCTCCTATGCCAACAGCCGACCCGTGCACAATCCCCGAATGGGCAATCCTGAAACCACTTCCGCAGAATGAATCAAGCAGAACCCCTCCTCTTCTCCCCGAATCTCAAAAACAGAGAAGTTGGTATCAAGGTGAGGTGGGCTGTTTATCTCCCCGTGTCAAGGTCGCAGCATCAAAACCCCTGTGATGAAAAGGAACGGAGGCTATCCAAATCCAGTCAAATGGACAGAGCTTCAAAGACTGCATTCCGAACGACTTCCTCCGAGCACCAAAAAAACAATCAGTTACAAACACTCGAATCGGTTGAAACCATGCAAAGACACAGAAACCACAGTATCTAAAGAACTAGTGTAAAGTGTGTTTAAACTTAAATTGTTGTCCATCTCGGAGCTCAGTCCCCTACGTCCCTCGCTTTGGATGCTTGAAGTTGGCAACTTGATCCATCCCTGCCCAAGTTGGTGCGGTGCAGTATGCCACACCGTCTTCAACCAGGCGGCTGACGCTCCATGCAGGAAACGTTTGCATCCACGACCTCTGCAAACACAAGAGCACCAGGGCAAGTCCACTGTGTGAAGTGTACCCTGCGGCAAGGATCCCCTACGCAGTACTTGATTCAGACGTGCAGCTGCAACCAGACATAAGAAAGCGGAATTTATGATTTCGCCCTGCCTCAAAATCTGGCTCTTGGCTTGGCCGTGGAACGCAGATAATCATGGGCACTGCCAGGACGTTGGTGCCCGCATTGATCTCACATGATTCTACAGACTTTCTGCGTGACATGCGAGCTAGTCACTCTTGACCTTGTGCAATGATGTGCATATCTGGAGGCATGAGCGTGGAAGCTTCTTAGGCGCAAGGAGCCTGCTATCATAGGTTACCCAGGCCATAATTAGAAAGTCGTACATGTCGCATGCGCCTGCATGTAGCGCACTTCCGCACTGGGCTCAATTTGTGTTTTAATACTCCAGGCACCGCTAGTGTTAACAAGCAATCGCTGACTAACATTGACTGCTCATATGCAGTTTATCTATTCCTGGAGAACCTGTAGTTTGAAAACATCTTTGTCAGAAATCACCTTGGCCCGAAAGCTTGAGGCCTTTCCCTGAAGCTTAACCCACGCCAAGCAGCCCAAAAGGTGATGCGCTTGTCGTACTCGGTTGCAAGCCACGAAACCAAGCTGTAACCCCAAAGATCATGCAAAAGCTCGACAAGAGGGCCGGAAGCAAAGGGGAGATCGACAAGGAGGGAAGGAAAAGGAAGCGAGGGGGGGGAATCGCTGTTGCAACGACATCTTCAGATGCTGACCCCTTGTCAGCATGCTTGACGCTCCCAACTTCAGCATTTGAGGACGTGGAACCGTGAACCTGGAGAACAGCCTGAATCGCTGGCAAGCCGCATGGTCGTACAGGTATCCAAATATCATGGGCGCAAATATTCGCGCAATCGACTGAAATGCCTGCAAGACGTGCAAACAGTGAAACTCCGCGCCCGTTACGGGCCAAAGAACTTCTGCCCTTACAGGGCATTGGACGTGAAATAAGGAGGACAAGGTACGCCGTGGGCCCTGCTAGAAACTGGATTAAGAACTACCCCCAGGTAAGCTCGTGCAGCATGCGCACATCAGCTGCTCTTGAGTCGTAACAGTAGCCAGGTGCCTCAACTTTCAATTCGTAGCTGTAGCTACGATTACGGGATTGAACTGTCTGCAGCAGATATTTCAAATATCGCCCGGCCATGGTGCGACACTAGGTGTATGTCTACACCAGCACCATAGACTCTGTGCGTAAGATTCTTGGCTTGGAGCCACAGGCTGGAAACTCCACCTGTTCAGATGCAAAACACACCAGGTCTGCGCCTGCTGGTAGCCCAGGGCCCTGCCGTAGATCTTCTTTGAACAAATCGTTGTCAGGAGTGAGGACGTGGTGGGTGAAATGAGGTTGCCTGGCCCAGGCCGCTTCAATGTACCTACCAGTTGCAAAATCCTCTCTGCAGTCAAGTTGCCGCCCGAAACTTGGAAGACCGCCTCGAAGCAAGGCATGCCCCGGCCATAATCAAGAGTTAACACAGGAGAGAAAGTGCTTACACATGCTAACCACGGCATAGATGCCAAAGTCCAGCATGAGGCGAGTGCGAATTTTGACAAGTAGATGGGTGAGGGGGCGAGTCGGGAACTCTGTGTCGGGAACCCGCAGGGGCGAGTCGGGAACTCGCGGCGATCGAGTCGGGAACCCGAAAGTGCAAGTCGGGAGCCAGCAAGGGGCGAGTCAGGAACCTGTGCCGGTGACGAGTCAGGAACTCCCGCTCCCATACTACAGACGAACAACATGACCGACACGACCAGACCAACTTGACCAAGGCGACCAAAACGAACGACATGAACGACACGACCAACACGACCGACGCGACCAACAAGTTGGACACGACCAACACGACCGACATGACCTACACGACCAGCACGACCGACCCACACGACCAGCACGACCAACATGACCAACACGGCCAACAAGACGGACACGACCAACACGACCGCCACCCGCGGCTGGTTCCCGCCCATCGCGGGTTCCCGACTCGCCAGTCACAGGTTCCGGACTCGCAGCTGCGGTGCCTTACTTGCCTAACTTTCCCTTTAGATGCCAACCTCCCCGCGTCGTCACTTGTGCTGCAGTTGGGGCGAGCAGGTATAGAGATTGCAGCCCAGCCACACTGACTGCGAACCAGAATGGAGTCGGAGCAAATGCCATGCCTTGATGCAAGTGATGCAGCTTGACCATTGACCCAATGCCTGTGTACGCCCGATGTCTGTGACGCAGTTGGAGGGTCGCAGTTTCTTCGAGCTGCCGAGAAAACCAAGAGTTCGGAAGATGCCACCAAGGACTATTGTAATATTCTCCCCGAAGAGCTTCAGCAATGGCTTGTAAACGAAAACCTGAGTCCGCTAAGTGAGGAGTGCGAACACAAGACCAAAAGCCTTAAGCCTTACGCATTACGCATGTGCCTTTGCGGCAGCCTGGCAGCAGCCACAAGGAACATGGTAACACCAGCAACGGTGAACAGTGCTCCGTAGAATTGGCCACTCGCAACCTGGTCTCCAGGGAAATAAATGTCCTTGGCTTCAAGCTAAGTCATCGCAATCCTGACCAGTTTTCCGGCCAGCTGCACATGCCATGCTCGCTCACTCGCAACTACAGTCCAGTATTTGGCTCTGCTTTGCAGTTCAGGGCAGAGCATCCATGAGGTAGTATCCTGTCACACTTTCGAAGGAAGCAAAACCCAGCATGAAGAGGAAGCCCGCACCGAAGAGCAGCCCAGCCGACCACGGGATGTAGTCCTCCAAGAGTTCATCCATTCGAGGAGTTTCTGCAAGGAGTACAACGCAAACCCTCGAATTGCGTCAAGTTGCAAGGCCAGTATCTGCAGAGGATTGTCGTGTTGTTAGCCGCGCACCGCCTCCTGCCACAGCTTCAACTGGACTGGACACCAGCAAACACTACCACACTGCCCGCTTCCCAATTCTGAATCTCAAGCATCAAAGCACTCCCTTGACTAATTCGCTTAGGACGTGCTTAAGGAAGGGGAGAGAGAGAGAGAGAGTGATGCAGATGGCAAGAGTCCTCCACTCTCCTCGGCTGCCACCTGCGTTCCTGCCCCACCTGGATGGTCATATCATGAATGTGCTTGGAGACACTACACTGGACATGAACCCACCTGCCTTCACTGCTCTGGGCTGCATCACCCTCAGCAGTTAGGGAAGCTGCTGCCTCTCTGGCCTGAAGGCAGATGCAGATGATGAAGACACATGGGCTTGGTAGTTCCACTACCATTCTGCTGACTAAACATCCCTTTGGAGGTCTGATGGCACTTTATTCTTCATCAAGATTGGAGGAGGACGGTCCAGAATACTTCAGTGTGCTTCAGCACCTTTGCGCCTGATTTCCGCGAGGCTTGGCCTCCGTCAGAAAGAAAACCCCAATCCTCAGCAGGCTTGCCATGGCTTGCCCAGAGCTCATGCCCCAAGCATGGGCTTTCACACCGCTAATGCTCTTTGATTGATTGCACTGTCCCACACATTGTGAGGGGTCATGATGGCCCTGACGGTACCAGGTGCTTCCACCACACTTTGGGCGAGGCGCACAAGATTAAGCCCAGAAAGGCCAGCTGAGACGTAGCAAGCCACTGAAAAACCAAGGTGGCTGAGAACGCCTCGCCAAGGAAAAGAACCAAAAACGGGCAACAGGCATCATCATGAATCGTACTTCATGTGCACTCTGCTCTACCAAGCCAGCCAGATGAGCAAACTTTCGAAAAGTTCTCATTTGATTCGATTAGTGGTGGGGCAGCCAATGCTGCTTCCCTGCCCTTATCTTGCATCCAATCCACCCCAGACATTCTTCCCAGCAACGCCGGTGCCTCCAAGAGCCGGGCCAACAATGATGCCTATGGAATTGCAGGCCTGCCTTGGATGAGCTAAGAAGCCACAGCAACCGGCAAGCACCCTGCGCAGCCAAAAATTGTCAAATAGGTCAGCTGGACAGGCATAACGCATCGGCAAGTAGATGGCAACATGGATCATGAGATGAAAGTTGCAGTTTATTCCCCCTCTTGCAAAGACCCAGCCACAAGTAAGAGATATACACGGATTTCTCCTGAACAGCATCTAGCAATGAAATGGTCCATGCAAGTACCCTGGCGCTCCTGTACTTACTGTTGCTGCTTAGGCTTTGTAGCCTAGAGCAAATCGTGCAGTCATTCTGAGCTCGCATGAAACCATGCCTCACCGGTCGTGGCATCAGCGATATATGCATTCGCAATACCCACCGTACCTGCAAAACAAGAAAATAGCAAGATGCCCACAGAAGCGATCCAAAACAGCAAGTCCTGCAACGTACACCTCAAAGCACAAACAACAAAGGCTGATCCTTGTGCTGAGCAATCGAAAGAGTTTTTTTGTAAAGGTCCAACCAACTCCCTTATCTGCTGGCCTGTGCATCTCGACTTGCCCCTAATATCCACAAGTCTGACAAGTACTGTAATGCTTGTATCTCTCCCATAAATCGGCCTCCACTTGCCCCGTTTATGGCGCGGGCAGCAACCTAGCTGGCAACGAACGGAAGGCAAGTACTCGCAAGGAACAGCAAGGACTGAATGGAACAGCGCACGCTGCCGTGGCACTATCATTGGAAAACTCCAGGCAAAGCCAGTCATCGCAGTCGACCTGGGCAAAACTTGACTTTGGAGAAAATCACTTGGGCGCTTGCCCGCTTGTTGACAGATGTTAGAAGCATCTAAATGGAGACTGTCTCTTCGGGGCAGTTTGCTTGGAGGACAAAATGCGCAGTAACCGCGGTGTGTGCGTGGTGCTGCTTTGTCAGCCGAGAAGCACCATAGTTCCGAAGACTGCAATCAAAAGCACAGGCCGCCGTCCATACTTATCTGACGCGCGCCCAAGCACAGGTGTGAAGATCACCTGTGACAGGGTCACAGTCACTTCTTCCACCACAGTAAACGCGAGCAGCGTGTCCAGCTACATGCGGACGTTTTGAGCACTCGCTCACATGCAGCTTTGGGCATGTGCAACTTCGCCGAACCATTAGTCACCGTGGCTCAGCTCGCCTGAGCTACAGAGAAGGCGGTCGCCAAGCTGCCAACCTTGGTGGTCAGGGGTCGGACTGAAAGAGGACAATTTGCAAGCAATGCTACTACTACAGAAGCGTCCGCTTACACATGGCCTCATCTTTTGTGATTTGAACTTGTATATCGAAGGCTCGGAGCCGAAATCGAAACATCAACCTGCACAGCCAAGCAACGGCTGTTGCATCAGCGCCGAAATGCTCTGCTATCGCCGGCAGAAGGGGGAAAACGATGCCTGGGCTGGCATGTTTTGAAGACATTCCTTGCAAGGCATTGAGCCAAGCAGCTGTGGCCCTGAAAGCTGTGCAACCCCAGACAAGTTTCAGTCAACTGTGTAGACTGACTAGATGAACCCAAGCAACCGAAATTCAGCATGTCCATCAGCACGACGAGGTAGACTGTCCTGGCTTGAGACCAGCTCAACAGCCAGTCAAGGAATTCTCCCTGACCCCCATGCCCTCTCATGCGCTCTCATGCCCTTTCGTGCCCTCTTGGCCCGGCGGTCCATATTGCTCCAGCAGAAACTTTCGGCATGCCAAACTTCTGGGGCGCTCAGCGGCGCAAGGGCTTGGTCCGACATACTGCGCAAACAGATTTCGCTGGACATCAAGCAGTCCAGCCGGAGAGGCTGTGTCCGTGTCAGGCAGAATCTACTTCCCCCACTAGCTCTCCGATCTATATCGAAATGCTCAAGCGAGCGGCCTACCGACCCGAAGCCCTCAACCAGAAACCCTGAACGATCAGAAGAACGTCCAGGTTGCCTGAGCCTCAAGTACTCATCACCTGCCCTGGGGAACGGGTTTGACTAAAGATGTCCAACGGCGCACCAGAAGGTGTTGGACGTGTTCTGGTGGTTGAGCTGCGTGATCACGTCGATCGACTTGCACCCAGCCTTACCATTCTGTGGGTGATTGCTGGGCACTACAATCACTAATCAGTACAAGGGTGGCCGCATCTGATTGAAGAAGAGATCCTGATGCCGGGTCCCATCGCTCTGAGACTCTGGGGTCTCCAGGGGCCAAGCTGCAGCCAGCAACTCTGTGCTCTTTACCTAGCACAAAGCACGAGATCACTTACCACACAGCTCGCTTTTGCTGAGGTCCGCTGCCTAAACATTCGTTGGCGACCGCGCCATGTTTGCCAAAGCCTGTGGCTGGGCGCGAAAACGGCAGCTGCCCTTCAGCTTCTGCAGCTTGCATCTCATACGAAGAAGAAGACGGAAGCCTGTGGGAAGAGCTCGTGCATCTTGGCAAGCGCCAAATCCGAGGTTGCTGCGATTGAGGCTTTACCTCAGTCGAAACCCTGACAATGGGATGAATGAAGCCAGGGAGTCAGGGCCTTCTGTATCTTCTGAGCGTTGGAGTGGTAAGCCGCTGGCCGTGCCACTACAGTTTGGCATATCCTCGCGCCTGGACTAATTCCCGAGCCGTGCAGTAGCTCGCAAGCCGGCTAATAGGCTAACATCTTCGATCCCAGCATGGGGCGCGAGCTGTATTGGCAAGGTTCTGCTCCGAGAAGGTCTTCAGAATCTTGCTCGCCTTTTTGTGACTTCCAGAGGCAGAGGCTTCAAGATGCCTCAAAGTATCAGCCAGGTGGCCTCATCAGCTATCGCCTGAAGAAGCGGCTCGGGCCTGCAGGTCTGCCCGCGAAGCGAACCAAGGATTTGTGGCAAGACAAGCAGCTGGAGTCTGAGCTGGCGTGCCGGAGAAGGATGGTCGTGCAAGACCACGCGAGGTTGGAAAGGCCCTGGGCGTTGAGACCTGCAGTAAGATTGATTCCACCTTCCGCTGTTGTTTGTCTGGAGCCAAGATAGACACTAAGAATTTCTTATAGCCAAGAATTCTGATGCCAATTTCATACCTCAAATCTACAATCAAGCCAACTTCAAGATTCAACAGCCGTGAATGATGACAGTGCAAAGTGCTGGATGATCAAGGCCTGTTTGGCTATGTCATGTTTGCGCAGCAGGCCTGTTTATCACGGCTTGTGTTTCTTTCAGCTAGCGAGTAAGTGAACAAGTGCTGATGACATATTGAACTCGAGAGCGTGCATCAATCCACCAGCTCTGCTGGCCTGCTCTAGCCTGCTTAAAACCTTCAAGTCTGGTCAGGCAACATTAATCTGCCCCAATCCAAATGCAGGATGGTAACCTGATCCGCAAAGTGTCGTGTCAAACTTTCAAACTGAGGCCCGGACCCTTGCCAGCAACTGAAGGTCTCCCCTGGCATGAATTCTCGCATGCATGACGTGGCGCAGCTAGCGGAGCCAGCGCAACTTGACATCCCCATAAACTGTCGGCAATATCTTAAGTGAATTAGAAAAGCACCTTCTGAAGGACAAGCATTCGGTCTGCAACCTGCATCACAGCTCATGAAGCCTGAGCATCTGAGATCGCCTCAATCAATTTCGTGCTTTTGGCCTCACTGCTCAGCAGGATGTTTTCTGAACATCCAGACGTGCGCGCACTTATTGCCAACTGTCAAGCTGGCTGTCGTCCTTCTAGATGTAGCCAAAGGCTGCCATGTACAAGACAGCGTGGGTGCGCTTAATGGAACTGAGCACGTGACCAACATCTTGGCAAGGGCCCGTACCAAATTCGAAATCTCCTACCTAGGTTGGCAAAGAATGCTGAGGAATCACTGTAGGCTAAGCAATACCTGGCTTATTAGGCCTTATAACTTATGACACCTCATGTGCAAAAACTTCCAGCTCAATTGACAGAAGTACCAGTGGATACTGGTGGCCAGGTCTGCCTCGGCTGAATATCTATAACTACCAATGCCATCCTGAGGCTTCTGCTGCTCGCTGTAAGGAATTGTCAGAAGCGCACGTTCAGAAATCACACCTTCAGGCGAAGACTTCGGACAGCACAATGCCCATCATGGGTACTTCTGAGAACATGGGCAGCTCGATCTGGCACATTCAAGCACCCGAAGGCCTACCAGGGGCTCATTGATGCTCCTTGGGTTGGCACACGATGGTGCTGCTGATGATGATGGAGATGGATTTTCACTGGCTGCTAGTGGACAGTTGCGACTGCGTGGCCATTTAACTCCTAGGAAAGAACTTTCAGGTCATGGAAATGTTTACGAACAGGCTGCCGAAGCAACGGCGGCTGGGACTTAGCCAAGAATCCTCGTCTTGGCCATCCATCAAGCGATGTTGCCCGAGTGCTGCGGGAGAGACTCTCCCACCTGCACTTCCGCTTCGTTGATTGGAGTGGGGCTGCTGGAGGAATGTATGTCTCATTGACTGAAAACTGGAATTGCAAAGTAGACCTCCTGAGTGCAGTGCTATGCAGATCGATCGGGATGCGACTGCGTCAAGCAATGGTTCCCCTGTCCACCTTGCAATTCCAGCTTGCCCAAAATGCAGCATACTCTTCACTTGGACTCGTCAACTACTAACACTTACTGTCAGCTGTGCAAATCCGTGGCTGCAAGAAACATCAGGCTGGCACGCCATCTTGCCACGAGCTCATGAAAAGTTGGCACACTCCTGGAAGATTCCACGTAATGCTTCCAAAAGATCAAGTGCAAGGACGAAAGGAGAGATGCAAAGTCAGAGCTTCATGTCTCTCTACAGACCGCTGGCCAAACCGGGTCCAAGCCTGTGGCCCCAGGTCATCACAACGGTCTGTAACACCTGGGGCTTGCAAGGCTAATGGCCCGCAGGCTGTCTGGTCTCCGCTCCTTCCCTGTGACACCAACGGAAAGGTTTGAAACCATAGCGTGATTCTGGGTTTGGCACGCTCGGCAAGGGCGGTCGTTGTCAACTCGTGCCACATCTTCATGCGTGCCAACGACCAAACGGTGTTCGCCAGCTGCTGGACCTGAAAAAAAGATTACTCCACTGTCAGTAGATGGCTGGTTCCAATAATTGGTTCTCGTGAGACCCTGCATGGGCACGTCTTAGCCAAGGACCCGCAGCTCAAAAATCTGGGTGCTTAGCTGCTCCACCAACCTGTTCGAGTTGGTCTCAGTTCGCTGCTTGCGCTCCATTATTTTCCTGCTTGCGCTGTATAGCCTTCACGCTGCGTTGTCTGGTACGATCCCTACTGCGGTGGAGCCGTATGCCAAGAAATGGTATGGGACAAGAAAGGGGCTCTGGATTCAAGGGAATATTTGATTCGAGATTGTCACATAGCGCAAAAATGCGCTTCGCACTCCCCGACTAGCTTGAATAGGATCCCCCGAATGCAGCTGGGGTGCCTGCTCAAGCAGTTTCCCTTGTGACCTCAACAGCCCCAACACCTCCGATGCAGAAGCCAAACTTTCAACCACCAAGTTGCCGCCTACCCTGCAATATTCTGATGGCCCCAGGCCCACTGATCCCTGGAACGAACTAGCAGCTGCTAGTCACGTGTTTCGTGCTCCCCAAGCCTCCTGTGGGCCCAACAACCTCCAAAAAACATCTCAGTCTTGGCTTGGATTCCTTTAGAAGGTCTGGAAATAGGTTCCAGACACAGGGGGGCCATCGTTGTATTTCTTTGAAATCCTACCAGTTTAAAACATATTCAGACTCTGACTCGGGGCCAGTTTGTGTAACGTAAAGTTTGACGTTACTTGGACCAGATAGAACCAAATGCTTGATGCATGCAGCACTCTCGTCAAAACGTGGCACTCTGCCTGTGGCACAGTTGGTCTGCCGGGGCGGATGCCGCACCCTCGGAGACAAAGAACTGCTCGAATACATCTTGGACTTGTGTCTCCCATGCTCTCAACCGTTGTTCACTGTCGCAGACCCAACCCTTGCGTGCAGTAATGTCGGGTCCAGGCCAATCGCGCCAGTCGGTGCAACGCTGTGACGTGGTTGACATTATCAAACTCCTCCTGTGATGAATGACAGGATACGAGGAACTCGGATGAATTAAATTACATCCGGCAGTCTGAGATGTTCATAGCAACGTGTGCATGTGGTGCTTAGGGCTTGCTTTGTTATTCATGGGGGCTCGTTTTGCGAATGAATACTTGGAGTCTGCACATGCGGCTGCGTACCCCCATGCGGTCTTCGCAGAGGGATAGACGTGGGCACAGTTTCGGCCCACGAAGGGAAAGGGGACTTTGTACAATGCCAGCACATGCTGGCGAGACGCTTCTTCAGCGTGCTGGCACAGATGTGAGATCAATACTGGCCTCAACACAGACCAGTAGCAAGTCTCTCAAAGTGCGCTGCAAGCCGGTCCATGGCTGACAAGGCAGCAGAGCAGCAAATGCATCTGATCCAGCGGTTTCTTGCAGTTGCTCAGGGTGCGCAGGCACCAGGACCGTACTCAAGCCTCGCGGCACATGTGAGAAGAAACCAGCCACGCGGGCAACACGTAGTCATACTCACACATCTTCCAGGGTCCACCGTCTGCTTACTATCACTGCGAGGCATTTTCCGATCACATCTGGGCTAGCAGTACAGAATGCACTCAGATCGTGCTGCCAAGAAGCGGAGGACGCCAAACTGGCCCAGCAGAGTCTGGCCAGCGCGCGTGAACAATTTCCAAACTTTGACTGTCAAACGTGCACATGGCCTGACCGCCTTGAAGCAGCTGGCCCAAGAGCAGCAAGCCTCACTGGGCGGACTGGAGCTCCCCTTGGCCTGGCGCTGCCGAAGCCTAGATCTAGCTTCACGAACACCTCCTGACTGACGGCTGATATCATCTGATGAAGGCGCTATCCCCAGCATGTTTGCCTCGCCGGCTGCGAAAGGATTTGAGGTGGCGGGGGTAGCGAGGCCTCACACTTTGGAGGAAGAGCTGCATCCATCTCACGACTTACCAACTGCGTGCCCAAGAAGGTCATAGAGCACTTTGCTGTGTGTGTGGGGGTGGGGGGGGTGGGGGGGAGCCTCTTTGGATGAAGATGGTGTGATCGGCCGGGCCTCTCCAATGACAGGTTGAGTGATCTTCTGATTTTCTGGACTTGGACAGCACAAGACCCAGACCTGAGGTGGAGCAGCTGGAGTTGTCCACGTGGAAGTTGATGAGGGCACAGGGGTAGCTGATGCTGAGTTACCGGTCTTGCCAGTAAGGAAGGCCTCTACTGCACCCTGCGTATCAGGGCCGCAGTCTGCCAGCAGACTGCTTACCCTTTCTGCCAGAATCTCTTCGCAGATTTTCCTTGTCTCAGCGGCGCTCTCGTGCTTGCGGAAGATCTCCTAGGCATCCAATTCCAAACGGGAATGCAAGAGACACTGAAGGCGTGGCACAGCACAAGGAGGTCTTGCACATGGCGATCAAGATGAGTCAAAGGATCTGCAATGGGAGCGCTGGGCTCCGGTGAGAGCGTTGCAGCCGAGAGGAGGGTCGCAGCATCCAAAGCCTCTCCAGCAAAAAAGCGAAATCAACTAACGCAAGGGAGCCAGAAGGGTACAGCATTCAAGAATCCCACAGCTTAGCCACAGCTTGGAAATAGCCACAGCTTGGAAAGCCGGAAGCCGGAAGCCTGGCTCAGAAGCTTCAGGGCCATCTGCTGGACTTCACCAGGCCGGCAAGGTCGGATCAGGGCCTCAACCAATCCCAGACCCCAGTCCCCTTAAGCCACTCTAAATCTGGAGACACTGTTTCGTGATGAGAGTTGAGGTTTGCATGCGCCGACAAGGAAAACACAATTTCGATCTCAATCTGACAATTCAGTGTGAGTAATCCTTTTTGCTGGACTTGTTCACGGCGAATACGATGGTTCCAGAAGGTAAACGGTTGGTTGGTTGGTTGGTTGGTTGGTTGCTTGCTTGCTTGCTTGCTTGCTTGCTTGCTTGCTTGGTTGATGTTGAAAGCTAGGCACTTCCACCAAGAGCCGCCGCAGCGAGTCAGCAGAGGTGTCTGCAGCAGCTGCGCGGCCCTGAGCAGCCGCTTGGTGGAGGCCCTCGACATCACGGACAACCTTGCAGCTTGCAGCAGGCTCTCTTTCCCGAATGTCAGATTCACATATCGGATGCCTGTGAGAAGCGTCGCCGAAGGGTCTCCATCTCCGCCTCAAAGATCATCCGGCATAAGGCTGGTGATGCATGCTTATGCATGCAGACAGTTCCCTCTTGGTCGCCTCAAGGTCTTGGCGAACACGTTCGGCCACACGACGTGCGACAACAGCAGCCGCAGCTTCAGCACCCGCCTCCATGGCCTTACAGCCCCCCGGGAACTGCCATATCTAAGTTGGTGGTGGCTTGTCCTTGCTTGCCTGCGCCTGCACCTGTGGGAAAGGTGCCTGCTGGGACGTCAACACCGCCTCGCGACCTTGCCAACAAAAGAGTGCTCAGAAAACGGACGCATGATTTCCGCTGCCAGCCGCAAGGCCGGTGCCAGTCTCTGCGGCAACGTCTCGCTGCGCCGGCTGCCGGTACAAGGACAGCTGCGCCTTGTCCCCAATGCACCGTATCATAGAAATTCATGGGAAGCCACAGCAGGTGAAAAAAGAATGGACTGCTGTCAGCTTGTGCGCTGCGCCAGGCTTGTGATCAATGAGCCGCTGGCCGATCACATACTTTTGCATCTTAAGAACACCTTGAGATATCTGAAACATCTCTGCAGGTGGAGGCCTTGGTCTCCAGGTTCTTCACACGGGCATCCTGCTCTTGACTGCCTGGAAAAGCCCAGACAACTTGAATGACTCTTCTTGGGCTGAAAGGCTGCTCATGCAAAAAAAATCTGGGCACTTACACAGCTCTAGATAGTCGAGGGTGCCATGGAAGAAATCTGAGCCATGCGACTTTTGCTCACGAAAAGGAACTTCTCGCTCAGGTCCTGGAACCGCTGTTCGCACCTAAGCAGGAACTCTCGTCTGCTCAACGAAGTCTGAGCTTTCCGGGATTGCCGGAGTGTATGGCGGCAAGCGCTGCGCGCACAACAATCTAAACAGGATCGAGTTGTCTGACTAACTTTGGCAGTGGTCAAAAGGCCACAACCTGACAAGTTTGGCGAGAAGCATATTCTTCAAATCTTGCATCTCTTCTTGGAGCTGCCTCAGTGAAAGCCCGCGTGCTGCCCAAAGACGGTTGCATGTCTAGAGCGAGGCCACAAAACTTACATGACAAGGTGATCGCAACTGCAAAGGAATACTTGAACCCTCAGCTAGGGAGTCTGCACCCCGATTGAGACTGCAGAAAGCTTTAGTATCCCAGAAGCCTCTGCCACGCCTTGAGTGCCGCCATCGCCACACGAGCTGCTGCGCAATGGCTGTGCGGAGGTCCTCGCATACCAACATGCCTTCCGCCTATCTCAGCCCACACCACTCTGAGGACATGCGGAAACTTCGGATTCGCTTCGCAGGCTGTTTGTGCAGCACTGACCTTCTTGAACCAGGCCCAGCCCTGCTGGCAACGCTGCTGCGACTAGACCGCCATGGCCTCAGTTGCTGGAAACTCTTCAAGTGATTCACACTGGGCGGCCTCAACCCTTCATGATCATCCCACAAAAAAGAATCTGAGCAGTAGAAGCTAAGAAGCTCAGCACCAGCGGCCTGTTTTGTAGCATGATGAACCTCGGACTGCCGTCGCATATGCGCAGTGTGCACTCAGCATAAAATTGAACAATCATCGGGCAGGCGGCTGCAGGATGGTGCCCGGGGTTTCAGAGGCAGCTCTGATTTCAGCCACCAAGCTCCCTGCCATAGTGTGGCAAGGTCACATTGCTTGTACTGCCTAACTCTATGACTCCTTGGTCATTATTTGGGAGTCAGCACTCATGCTTTGCACGTCTAGCCGGCATTTCACAGCGCCCATCTGCGCCTGCTTTGGACATGATCTCCAGGTCCAGAGATGCCTCGTCTTCTCAAATCTTCTCAAAACGACCGCTTGGCAAGCAGCGAAGCATAGCCCACAGTTCCTTCATGTCCTTCTGATAGTTACGCCAGCTCAGGCCAGGGAGCATCATCCGTGAGCCCGTACGAGATGCGAAGCTGCTCCAAGATTTTCCTCACTTGAATCAACAGCTTCAATTCAGACGATCGTTTTGGACTGCGCATCGTCGGGCAATCCCGGGTATGATGGGCAGCTGCCCCTCAAAAAAGTCACCTTGACTAGACTTCAAATAGTTGTGCCGCAATGCTTCTGCTTCCACCCCTCTGGACTCGCAGACTGATAGTCCAGCTCTTCGAAGTGGAAGCTCAGGCAGGAGATCACCTGCACAGCTTGCACAAGTCGGAAGAGGCTGTGGGCATGTCTGGCCCCGGCCTTCCCTGAGTCGCTTGCTTGGATTGCAGCCTCCTTCACCTCGCACTTTGCCGCCGAGGACCCTTCCGCGCTGATGGCCGCTGAGCTATCAACCTGCACTTGCCAAGTTTTGCAGTCTTGCGGCAAACTGCTACACATGCCCTGTGCGCCCAAACAACAATCACGTACACAAATCTGTGCAGCAACGGTAGTGCTGGTTGACCCGGTTCCCAACCTTGATGGGCTGTGCTAGCCTTCTCTTCGGTCGGGCACCCACAGGCTGTGGCACTTGTCGCAGCTCCTGTGACAGTGTTGGAGGATTGCTCTGCTCGATCAGGCAATCCATACCATTCTGCATTCTCCTGCAGAGCTACCGGTGCTTCAGCTTGTGGTCTGGCTGCAGCCAGAGCAGCACCACTACGACCAAGCGCCACCAGCAGTTCAAGAGGCCAGCCAAAGGCATGCCTCATAAGTGCTGACACAGCATGGGGAAGCAAAGTGATCCATACAACTCTCACAATTCTTGTTGGGCAGCTGTCTCCAAGGATTGCTTGAATGTGGGGCCGAGTGGTGTCAATTTGCGATTACGGACGTAGCTAGCGAAGACCTCAAAACCATCCACTAGGATGATCACTGCCGCAGTAGTGCTGCTCAGCTTCATTGCGCTGTCGGCAAAGGCTGCCGATGTCACAGCGAGGAAGCAGGCTTCAGCCTTGGAGATGGAAGAGAACCAAGAATACCACGCATCGGAGGAGATCTGAGGTCCGAGCAGCCGCAACAGCTGCAAGGACGCTGAAGACCTCAGCTACGAGCCGAAAGTGAAAACTGCCAAAGCATTGCTGGGTCTAAGAGGATGATGCAAACGGCCCGTAGAGGATTCGCAAGTGAAGCACTCCCGATCTTGTCTTGGAAGCGTGGGAAGCGTCAGTCCCAGCTGCGAGTTGGCGGCTGCCCCTTACCCTTCATGCAATGCACTTCTTCTTGTTTCATGCATTTCCACCAAAGATGACATTGATGCTTGATGTCTCCAACTAGCCCACACTGAAGTTGCACAGCCCCATGCTCATTGCGAGCTGTCGTGTGCTTGCATCAAGTTTGAGACTGCAGAGAAAGCGTCTGCCCCTGAAAAGTGTCAGCAATGTCAGCCTTGAGCCAGGTAGCCGGTGCAAGGCTTGGATCAGCAGCCAGGTCCCTGCAGCAAAGCAGCGCCGCCGCGAAGGCTGAAAGCACCGGGCTCCTGCTGGTGAGGTTTTGCTTTGCTTCGCTTGACTGTCCCAAACATTGACGAGCGGCAGGGACAGCAATGAGATCAGCAAAGCTTCTTCAATCCCATGGCTACCTGGGGCATGGCCAGGTGGCGAGGCTCCCTCTTGCGGCAACTGCGCAGCCTCTGAATAGCACTCCGTCACCAGCCAGTGCGGCAGCTAGACCCTGACAAAGTGGTGTCGCAGTGGGCATGACATTTTCGATACAAGAGGAGGAAAGTTATTTCGCAGCTCATCAAGTTAGAGAATTGTTTGTCAGCTGAATCTAGATCTTCATAGTAAAAGCTTTGCTAGTATCCGGGCATCGTGCTGAATAGTTGTTCTGAAACAAAACCCGACAGACAAGTGTGGGCACCTCTGATGTTAGAAGGGCACCGCAGACGCATAGGTGCAGCAGCTCCGCTGCAAGGACCTTCCGAATCTGCTTTCACGACTTGTTCCGGCAGCCATGCGAAAGCAGAGCCCCTTGGCCGCAGACTGCGGTGCGCAGCGCCTGAGACATCAAAAGTTCGAGTAGTACTAGCGAACGAGAGAGGCCAATAAGCATCAATCGTCCGCTCCTTATGATACGTCTTCAGAAAAGGAATACGCACCACCACGGGCAGTTCAAGGAAAGGCCTTCCGTGCCACCGCAGCCTGCTCATGGTGTTCACGTGCCTCATAGTTGCGCCTGACGAGAGCTGTGCGTCAGAGCTCTGAGTTCATGCTGGGGTTGTTCGCGGACCCTGCCAGAACTTTTCAGGTCCAACGCACCACAAGCTCAACAGACTGCAAATCAAGTGTATGGGCTTGCTTCAGGCCTTGGCACGGCTGCAGGAAGCATAGCCGAAGTGGCATCCTGGGCTCAGGTTATGTGATCTTGTAAAAAGCTGACCTAAAAGCAAGGAAGAATAATTTCATGGCCAAGAATTCCAAAAGTCTCGACATGGCTGAGAGATTCATGTGGCCAAGGACAGCCTGGAAAACCGTTTGAAGCTACTATGGCTCAACAGGTTCTGCAACACTCCCTGTCCTTTGCTGTCCTAGACTTTGGCTGAATCAGCAAGTCCTATCAGCCCAACATCTTGTCGGGTCTGTGAGCATGAAGGCTGCAGCGATCCGCGATCATTGAAATTGGATGTCTCCCAGGCTGTGCACGCACGAGTGTAGCAGGACAATGAAACTACTCACATTGGAGGAAGCAAGTTCATCATACGGCTTTACCGTAAGTTCAGCTTAAGTGGTCTGCACATCTAATATAGTTTGCGAATGCACGGTGAGCGCTCCCAGCATCGACTGCAGATCTGAATGACATCGTGGACGCTTTCAGACCTGTGACACCCGAATTGGTTCAAAAGGCAGTGTGCATGAGAGTGGCACTGCCAGGAAAAGCCAACGCTGAATGTGAAATGCACTACCACCTCAGCCAGAAGAGAACAGGGGATGGCAGAATCAGCATCATCGACATAACCCAAAACAGAACACAGGTGCTAAAAGGGTGCTGGGAACCCTGCGTCGAAAGACCTCAGCTGCCACCGTGCTCAAAGCCAACAGCTATTTGATACTTTGCGACCGCCTGCCGCGGAACATGCAGCTGTGACAGGCTTGGGGCCGGAGCTGCGGTTGATCCGTACCGCAACTGCTGAAGGAGGCGGACCTTCCTCCATCAACGAACTTGCCATGCACAAGCTACCTTTGCAACCTACGAAACACCTGCCATCCGGTCACATAGCGTGCAATTTGCGCCAGGCATCATTACCAGCGGGGTGCTTCTGTCCTTTGAGCGTGCGCCTGGCCCAGCAGAAACGGCTGTGCGGCGCGAGGCCTCAATGGAACGCGGTGCCAGCCAGCTTATACAGCAGTTTGCATGTGTGCGCATCCCACCGTGATGCCCAGTCAACCAGTCAAGGCATGTCAAAGCAAATGGCCGGTGCCGCGCGCGATCTTGCGAGGCCTGCGCTCAGTGATGTCAAGCTTGTACCGCTTTCCCCCTAGGCCCTTGTCATGACCTGCCAGATGAATATCTTGCGAATCTTGTGATTGTGCCTCGTGGCCCATATAGCGACTGAACTGATGGGAACTGAACAGGCTCCTGCAACATGCATGAGGTTCGTTAGCAGGCTGTGAAGCACAGCAGCACAAGCCATCTCGAGACTGCTGGGCTTTTTTGGAAGCTGGAACAGGCTCCGGTCTTAGCTGGCAACATACACAGAATTCTGCGCTGGAAATCACTACCTAAGAAACATGGCTTCCATCAAAAGGAGCTCGTCAACTTTCTCAATATGATTTTCTGGAATTTTGTTGATTGTTGCGATGGTTTTGGGAACCCCCAGACGTACCGCCAACATCATGAGCGGTGAAATGTACAGAGCTGCAAAGGGAAAATTAAAGTGGAAGAGAGACACAAAAGGAAACCTTTGAGCCCTTGGCTAACGGCTGACATGAGTTTCTGGAGGCTTTATTCGTTTAGATGGGACAGATTGAAGATTCCAGGCTTAGGATGCTTAGATGTGGGAAGGTACTCATTGCAGAGACACACAGGGATATTGGCTGGCCGGTGCGAGCCAATCTGTACAGGCAACGCTGGCCCTGCCAGCCTGACCCAAATTGTGAGCTGCTTGGCTCTTTGCGTTTTGTGCTTGGCGCTTCTCAGATCTTCACAGTCTCTGCCCCAGCTTCGGAGCACCTCATTTAGCTCCTGTTTACTGAAAAGGAAGCCACGGGGCCGCGGCACAAAGCTAAGCAAAGCTGGAGCCACGACGCAGGGATTGAATCACGGGAGCTTTGCGTCTGAGCATCAACGGCACCCCACCCATGGGCGGCCTACCGGAGGTCTGCTGGTCGAGTTTCGACGTCACCTTCGACCCAGGCCCACACTGCGTGGCCGACACGCGAGCGACCTCCCTTCCTGCTGCCTTCTGATTGGTGCGCACGCCGGCTCGGAGGCCCGTAGAAGGTCCTCAGCTACTCAGCTACACACCCTCACGCTAAACTCTTGATCTAGATGAGACAACTTCTTTGATGACAGTTGACATGTTCAAGCTGAACACTGCGGAAACAGCTGGGCACTTGATACATCTGGAGGGAGTTAAGTCTTAAGTCCCAGGCTGCATGCATCCTATGCGGCTCCTATTGACTGCGCTTTCAGCGCGTCATGAATGAGCAGCTTATCAACTGAAAGGCCTCAGATGTCTTGTGCAAAGCTGCAAATGAGGATGCCAAGCGTATCACAAATTATAAGAACGTTCACTCAAAGGTGAGCTTGAGGAGGCTCACATGCCCGCTGGAGCCCAATGTTCAAGGATTGGAACAAGATTTTACTTCGGCGTTGCTGCAGAGGAATTAGAGCGATGACCGTCGCACAGGTGTTTGGAAAAGATGTGTCCTTATCTTGTGCCGTCAACAAGGTTCAGGTAGGAGCTGGACTGCACATGCTGCAATTGCAACTTTCGTTTGTAGTCAAGGTTGCGCACAGTTAGATCTGCCACGCAGCCTGCTTTCTTCCATCCCGCTGACCATGCTTTGAGCCCACGAGGGCTTTGGTACGGGGGAGCTGTGCCGTTGTTGGCAAGCCTGCGTGAAACTTGGTCAGTCCAGCTTCCAGGTGTTAACAAGCCTGGTTAAGCAAGTGACGTCTGCTACCTACAGTCAGCTGTAGGCTCACTGCCTGCGAGGCATCTAGGATACCAGGTTCTGACCGTTGAGACACTTGAGAGATCCGAGACCCTAATCTGCGCTCCTGGCAGATTTCATCTTTGTCTGCGGAACATCAATGTTACGCAACTTCCTGGCATTCTCCCAACATTTCAGCTCGCTCTGAATAGCAAGTCCGGTGGATCCTTGTGGTGAGATTCAATCCCTCACACCTCCAACTAAATGTCCACATGGGTGCACGACGACTGGGAATTAAAAAACTGACAACTACCTACTGCCATTTTCCATCGTGCTTCTGGGTTCAAACACAATTTTGCTGGAAGCTGGGCATAAGGTGGCCTTGCGCACGCAAGGCCGCGTTGCAATTCATTAACGACATGTTGCACCTGCAACTTCAGTGGCAGCACCAATGCATTCTAAATCTACAGGGGCCCTTGGCTGTCTTAGGTTTTAGGGCTTTTCAGCTCTGCTCCAGAAGCAGCAGGGCAATCATGGCACCTGTCTTGTGGGCGCTCATGCAAACTACAATTCAAGCTTCAATTTGTACAACTGGGCAACTACACACATACTTCAGGCTTCTCCTTGCGGGCCCGTTAAACTGCCTGGCGAGCTGTTTGGCTTCTTGGCTGCAAAGCAGCAGATGGCAGTTGTGTTGACCGGCTGGATTTGGCCACGAGTGCTTGGTTGCTAGCAGGCCCAAATGCAGACAATTATGCAATATTGACCCAGGCATGCAAGAGCAAGTGAGAGCAACTGCCTGCAAGAGCAGATGCTGCCGCGAGGGGGACGCCATGAAGGGCAGGGGAAAGTCCCATGTGCCCATAGGGAAATACCTTGGGTTGGTATGTGCAGGCGCATTGCCTCACCAACGCAGCTAGATCCTTGTGACACGAACTGAGGATAGTTCTGCAGTGCCAGGAGCTGCACCTGCAGCTTGAAAGGTTCGGATTCTGAGCATCTCGAATCTCTTCATGATTGTGGCCTGAGCGCCCGAAGAATCATTGGACCTCTGTGAGTGTGTCAGCTCCGGGAAGGTTATAGACCTCAACTGTGGCATCTGAATCATCTGCTTCATGTTGCTGGGGGCTGTATGGCCTTGGGGCCTCAGTGCTGGCAGACTTGCATGTCTTGCCACATTCTCACACGGGCCCCGACAGCTCATTATGCCTTTCTTCGCTGACCTCTCCTGGCACCGTGGTCGTCTGCACACATCCCCAAACTGACGGCTGGAGGACCCGAACCTGCGGACCCAGGCGGCGGAGCCATGTAAGGCACTGCTGGACCTAAGCTTGCGGAGACTGCCATCTCTTGACAACACACCACCGGCCTTATCAACTTCTGCTCATAACATATTCATTACTATCCCATACTGCATGGGCATGGGCATGGGCAACATCATCCGACAAGTGAAGATACAAGGTCACCCCAACGGGTGCAGAATTGGTGTAGCCAATTCCATGTCCATGTCGAGCGGCTTGTGTGCGGCCGCCTGAATGCAAAAGTGCTGCGAATGCCAATGCACCAAAGTACTTGGTGCATGCAGCAAGTCTGTGCGGGGCGTTAGGCTCGGAGCCTTGTTGAACATGGCTTGATCCGCTCCCGCAGCCAACGGTACCGGGAGTACCTGCCAGCAACTGCCAGCACAAGCCCCAGACCCTTCAGATCTTCGACACCTTCAAGTCTTGTGCGCGAGGTTACATCACAAGTATCCCAGCTTGACCCTATCCTTCTCCCACAACAACCAGCAGCAAGCGCGTCACTTGACTGCTGGCGGCTCCAAGGGGTCGGGCGACATGAGGGCATCATAACCAGCAGTTCGAGGAGACCTGATTCTCATAGCGCAATAGCACGAACCCCACCTGATGGTGGAAGGGATCCAAAATAGCTTTCTCTGCTTCCCTGGCAAAACACAGTGGACGCCTACCCTGCTGTTGGCTTCAGACGAGACATGTGACCAGCTGAGCCTGCTGAGCCTTGTCAACTCCTTTGAGGCTCTCGCGGGGCCAGCGAGCGCACGCCGTCAGCGCGAGCGAAATGGCGGCATGGCCCACGTGCCCGGCAGTGCGAGCACCACCTTGCGTGCTTGCTTGCCACAAAAATTACCGAAACAACTTGGTTTGAATAAAGAGTTCCCAGAATTTGCCAGGCGGCGCCCTCGGCAGGCCAGTCCCTGGTCCGCGCGGTGGAGGCCGTGGACGCTTGCAGGGCAGCTCACCCCAGACCACACGGCCAGGAGGCACAAGCCCTACCGAGAAGTCTGCTCTGCCCAATATCCCAAAGATGTGCTTCCGGATCCCTCACCCCAGCCTTGTGGTCTCCGCATGCTTTTGAGCTTTGTGCCAGCAGAAGGGCTGGGTATATTGCTAGCCTGGTTAAAGCTGCCAGCAGCAGATCGGCTCACCACGGTCTTCCTCAGCTGCGAACGAGTCACGCGCACTGCTTAGCTGTCGCTTCCCCTGACATGGCCTCTCACAAGCACAGTCAGTCTACGCAGAAGCCAAGGCAGAGTCCGCTCTGTGCGCACCTGTACATGCTGCGATGGTGTAGTGGACATCGAGGTCTTCTCTGGCTGAAAATCCCAATCATCCAGGAAGGCTACCTGGAGGATCCGAACCACGCCAGTTCAGCTGTCCCAACACAAGCAAAGAGGGCAACTCTGTAAACTCAGCATGCCCATTCAAAAAGTTGTTGCCGATCCTACTGATGCGCTGCCAGCAACGAGTCCAGCCTGGTCCAACGCCAGCGAGCCCGTGCCCTCGGCATCCAACTGCTTGAAGAGGCTGGCAGCACCCTGATGGAAGCCTCAGCTTGAAATCAAACAGAAGAACTCGTTGCTGATTCTTGCGCCAAGCCGATGGAACAAACAGACCTATGTCACGGCTGAGCCAGGGGCCGTAGATCCGACAAGCATGACGCCATTCCTCAGTAATTACACCAATGCTACTGCCCGGAATCTGAAGTCCATAGAGAAGAAGCCCCGCTCTTCCAAGACGATGCACAAAAGCACCAGCCATCCTCACTGAAGCTTTAACTACATATGTCCCGAAATCGCTCGAGTTTCTCGGACCAGCCAGGACTCCCGAAGCGTTACGCCATTTGAGCCATCGCTGTCAAATACCATGAAAGCAGAGCGGATTCCACCTCCAGGCAAATTCTTGTTGCTGAGTCCTCTGGCTCAAGTTTCACAAGATATACATGACTGTATCGAGCTGCACTGACGAAGAACCACTGCGAATTTCCACACTTTGCAGTGCTAGAGTGCTAGGCCCCTTGCCGAAGTTGTCATCGGCCCACTTCTTGAAGGTGGCAAGGGTGGCAGAAGACTCATAGTCTACCTCCTGCCAAGGGGCAACTTGCTGCTAGAAATCGAAGATGAGGTCACAAATTAATTGAGGTAGGTTTATTGCTTTTTGTTGTGTATTTTTTTTTTGTTGGAGGCTTCTTGCCCAAGACGATCGCAAATTGCAACATTTCGAGCTCTTGAAAACCTGCCTATTCTGCAATTTCCAACGCTTGCGGCTCTTGACAGGATACGAATGCTGTCTGCACTTTTTGGGTTTAGGGTTTTTAGGGCTTAGGGCTTTAGGGGTGGTTGCAGGGTTTAGGGGTTTTGGGGTGTTTGGGGTGTAAAGTTTTTGGGTTTAGGGCGTTTACGTAAGTGTAGTGGTTTTAAAGTTCAAGGATTTTTTTAGGATTGTCGGTTTTAGGATTTAGTGGTCTTAGTGGTCTTAGGGCTTAGGATGTTTAAGGTTTGGGGTTCTTTGTAGTGTTCTTTTTTAGCACGCCTTTTTCCACCTGCATGTTTTTTTATGGCTTTTAGGGCTCAGGGTGTTTAGGGTCTAGGGTTTAAGGCCTTTAGGGCTTAGTGTTTTAAGTGTTTAGGGTTTTTAGTGTTTATGGTTGTTAGGGTTTAGGGTTTTGGGGGTTTGGGATTTTTAGGGTTGAGAATTTAGGATGTTTAGCGTTTAGGGCCTTTAGTGGTTTTATGGCTTAGGGTTAAGGTTTTTGGTTTTCAGTGTGTTTAGGGCTTAGGTTTTCGGTGTTAATGGTTTAAGGGTTGTTAGGGTTTAGTGCTTTTTGTGTTTAAGGGTTTTTAGGGTTGCTTTTGGGTTTCGAGTTTTTTGGGTTGAGGATTTAGGGCTTTCAGGATTTAGGGCTTTGAGGGCTTAGGGCTTTTAGTGTTTGGTGGTTTTCGCATTTTTAGGGTTTAGGGTTTTTAGGGTCTAGGAGTGCTTTACGGTTTCGGGTTTTGAGGCTTTAGTGTTTTTTGGGGATGTGGATTAGGGCTTTTAGAGTTTAGGGCTTTTAGGGCTTAAGGTTTTTTAGGGTTTAGGGTTTTTAGGCTTTAGTGTTTTTAGGGTCCAGGGTTTTTAGAGTTTAGAGTTTTTTGGGCTTAGGAGTGTCAGGTTGAGGGTTTAGGGATTTTAGGGCTTAGGGTTTAGGGTTTTTAGGGTTTAAGGCTGTAGGGTTTATGGCTTTAGGGTTTATAGTTTTTAGTGTTGCGGATTGTACTTTTAGGCTTTAGTGCTTTTAGGGCTTTTAGCGTTCATTTTTTTAGGGTTTAGTGCTTTTAGGGTTTAAGGCTTAGGGTTTTAAGGTGCGGGTTTTTCAGTGTGTCTAGGGTTTTGGTTTGAGGCTTTAGAGAGTTTCGGGTTTGGGGTCTTTAGGGTTTAGGGATTTGGGCTTTGAGGGATTTTAGGGTTCAGTGGTTTTAGGCTTTAGGGTGTTTAGGGTTTAGGGTGTTTAGGATTCAGTGCTTTTGAGGTCATTAGGGTTTAGGGCTTTTGAGGTTGTTAGAGTTTAGGGTTTTGGTGGTTTAGGATGTCTAGGTTTTAGGGTTTTTTTGGTGTTGTAGGGTTAAGGAACTTTAGGTCGTTTGGGGTGTTTAGTGCTGCTAGGATTCAAGGTTTTTTGGGTTTAGGTGTTTTTTGGTTTGGGGTTTAGGGAGTTTAGGGTTTGGGGCGATAGGTTCTTTAGGGTTCAGTGTTTTTAGGGTTCAGGGTTTTTCAGGGTTAAGGGTGTTTAGGGTTTAGGCATTTCAGGGTTAATGGATTTAGGGCTTAGGGTTTTTAGGGTTTAGGGCGTTCAGAGGCTTTATGGATGTTAGTGTTGTTAGGGCTTAGGGTGTTTAGGATTTAGGGTTTTTAGGTAAGGTTTAGGATTTTTTGGTGTCAATGTTTAGGCTTTTAGGGTTTGGGGGCTTTAGGGTTTTTAGATACGCGCATCGCTCAAGGCAGGCATGGCCACGACTGTCCGGTCCAGAAGACGCCACTCTGGAGGTAGTTAGGTAGCACTCAGCTTTCCTACTGGCAAGCATTACACGCTCCTAACCAAAACACTAGCACAACTGATCTCAGCACATCAAACTGTGAATCAAACAGCATGCAACTTGCATTAGATGTCGCTCACTGCCACTCCGGAAACCACAGCAGTAGTCTGAGAACCAGCACCTGCAAGACCGACCACATACGATCTCCAGGTTATTCATGAGTAAATTCTTCTTGCAGAAGTTCCAGTTCATCCATGCAAATTTGCTAGGTTTTCAGGGCTTAGGATTCAGGGATTCTAGGCTTTTTAGGGTTAGGGTTTTCAAGGTTTAGGGTTTTCAGCTTTCAGGATTCAGCGTTTAGGGTCTTTTTTTTTTGAAGCACCTACTTTCCACCCGTCCAGCGAGCGAAAAGGCCCTTACAGGCAGGCACTACAGCAGCCACACTCAGGACCACCGAACACAAGCGAACTCCGCGGCAAACGAGAACAGCAGCCGCAAGATGGTGAGTCTTTAGGGTTTAGGGTTTTCAGGGCGTAGGGCGTTTAGGGCTTGTAGGTTTTAGACACGCTCATCGCACAAGTGCGGGCACGGCAACAAATGTCCTTTCCAGCAAACCTCACCCCAACTTTGGAGGCGGTCAGGCAGCTATCCAGTACCACGATAGTTTCATTTGCCCCCAACATGACAACCGCATTAACCAGGGTTCAGGGTTTTAAGGTTCAGGGCTTTTAGGGCTTTTACTGGTTTTGGGTTTTGGGTGTTAAGGGTTTGGGGTCTTTAGGGTCTTTGTTTTAAAGCCCTGGAAACTTTTACGTCTGCACGGCTGTGCACAGGGCCAGACGATAAGGCATGTCACCCGTCTGTTTGCACCCCAACAGTCTTGGTATATTTCTTGACCAAGACTTCAAGCATCACTTTCGTGCCCTCAGCGGTTCCCAGCACTTGTGCCTGTCATGGGACCACCTCGGGAACATCAAAAAGCCGACCCCCTGGACTGTAGGGTTTAGGGTTTTTGATTCATTGACAGTGGTCCAGGGGCGTTAGGGCTTTGAGATTTAAAGAAAGAATGATTTTTCATGAATAGGAGCGTAGGGTTTAGGGCTTTGGTGGTTTAGGATTTTTAGGGTTTTGATTGCTTTTTTTGCCGCTTGCATGGCTCGGACGGCATAGCAAGGTTCATTCCGGTTCCATCCGTGGACAACTAAGGCGCAGGCCTGCCGTCAAGGCTTTTAGTGCTCAGGGTTCCTAAGGTTTAAGGCTTCAGGGATTTTAGGGCTTTTAGGGTTTAGAGTTTTTGGGGTTTGTGGTTTTTGCGGTTTAGGGCGTTTGGTGTTTTAAGTGCGTTTAGGGTTATGTGTTTAGGCTTTAGGGTGTTTTCTTTTTGGTTTAAATGTTTTTTGGGTTTAGGGTTTTCAGTGCTTAGGGATTTTAGGTTTAGGGTTGTTCGGGTTGAGAGGTTTTACGGTTTGGGTTTTTTAGGGTTTAGGGTGCTTATGGTTTAGACTGTCTAGGGGTTGGGGCTTTAAGAGTTCAGGAGTTTTAGGGTTTGGGGTTTTTCAATTTTGGGGTTTAAGGTTCCTAGGGTTTTAGACACGCCCATCGCACAGGCAGTGCAGGCACGGCTTTTATTCAGGGTTTAGGGTTTTTAGGGTTTAGGGCCTCTGAAGTTGTTCGGGTTTGGGTTGTTTAGGGTTGTTTGCCTTTCAGGAGCCGCAAATGTTGTAATTCGCAGTATTGGCAATCTTTCAAGAACTCCAGATGCTGCAATTTACAGCATTCGTAGCCTGTCAAGAGCCGCAAATGTTGCAATTTGTAATATTGGCAGCCTTTCAAGAGCTCCAAATGCTGCAATTTGCAGTATTTCGGGGACAAAGAATCCACCGAAAAATAAAACACATACAAAAAATTAATCAAATACCGAAAATGTTGGATTCCTGAGGCTAGTGGTCCTGGAGAGTGATGCTGCCCGAGAGGTCTGTATCCAAAGCACGCCACGCCCCTGCAACATCGCCTGCTGCACAGCGCACGTGACCCAAACACATGCACTTAACCACCAAAGAACTAAGAAGCTGCCAAGCTAGGAGTCTCGACACAAAACCCATAGCCGCCTGTGAAATTCACCTTCCTGCAGGCGGACTGGAACTCTGGCCAGGTGCACCTGCACTTCAAGCCAGGCCCGCGCAAAACTCCTGTTTGGAGGTAGTTGAGAAGCTCTGTTATGATCGTTTATGGGCTCCCTTTGAAAGCTCCCACCAGCCACCAACTAGCCGTAGAAGTTTCGTCGCTCAGCAAAGCAGGCCTGTTGGAGTTGTTGTCGTCAAGGGCAAGGCGCCAAGCCTTCCTTGACCAAGTTAGAAAAGGCAAAGATGCGACTCCGAAGATTCTGCAGCAGAGGACCACTGCGGCCAGGTGCGGCTAGGAGTCAAGTAAGTCTTGTAGGTTGCAAGCAAGTCCCGCTTCACCTCCTCCTTTGCCTCCTCGTTGGGGCTGGCAATCAGAAATTCTGGAAGCTTCCACCTCAGCAGCCCAGGCTCCAGAAACCGCCCGGGGCAGCTCAGCCGTTCAATCACGTGGTGCGCAGTCAACGTGATCCAGAAGGAAGATTGGCTCTGCTGCCACCCTAGCCTAGCATCAATACACAGCTTCCATCTCAAGTAGTCTGTCGCCAGGGTAGCCACTTCTCCAGGAATCTGAAGTCTTCAATTTCCAAACGCCCGTTCGCATCCGTGTCCAGGCCGTAAAATAGCTGCTTGGCCTCGTGTGCTGATGTAGGGGCGCAGGACGTTGCTCGCACATGACGACATGATCAATTCAGATACAGGATTATTGCAAATGCTTCTTACATCCCTGTACGCATCCAGGCAAGACCAGACATAGGAACCGAAAAGGTCCAGGCCGGCAACGACGAATCCTCGGCGAACGTACGTTGGAATTGTGTCATCTTCTCTGCAAACGACTGCCTATGCTGGGCATGGCTGGGCAGGATGCAGACTTTCCTCCAAGTATCCAAGGAGTTCAGGGTCGAGATGAACTCCGGCATCTTGATGCGCTTCACCTTGCATTGCCCCAATCAGAAACACAACCTGTCAAGACATACTACTAGGCGTTGGCGGAGGAATGCTTCGATGGCGGCACCCCTGCCCTTGACCCCAACCATTCTCAGACACACGATCTATTCCATGCATGCCGTCTCAAGGTTTCTTGAAGCAGGGTCATACATATGAATCTTTGAGGGGGGAGCTAAGGAAGACATTAATGCAAAAGCACGAAGGCGACAACACCTCCAAAGAAGGAATGAACTTTTGCCTGGGCACGTCCTTTTTGTCGAAAACACGGAAGGCTGCGTTTACACCACCCAACTGCTGCACCAGCTGCCTTGGCTCTGCAAGAATGGTGGCGCAATTCTGCACTAGGCTTAGTCGTCTTCCAAGCTGCTGGAAATGCGCGAGGGTTTCCTAGGCTCAGTCAAGACCTCATTCTGAGGCAGCCAGTCTGTTAAAAAACAGCCATGCTACAAGTCTTTTGGTTGCCCGGCCGGCGAGTCTTTCACAGGCACCTCTGCTCTCAAAGGCAAGTATCAGCAGACTCCGGGTCCAAGAAGTCCAGCGAGATGGGGCTTAGCTCGTCCTTGCACAGTGCGAACAAATACCTATTCAGGCACCGAAAATGAATTCCGGAGGCAGCAATGAATCGAAAGAACCAGTCCCTGCCAAAAGCGCGCCAAAGAACTTTGCCAGCATCCTTCAGCCAAACACAAGGGCGCAGAAAAGTGTCATTTGATGACTGGCTGCAGGCCTCGCCTTGAATCCAAGTGCCGAGCAGGCAGTGAGGAATTGAGTGCGGGAGACTGTCACCTCAGAGCTGCTAAGACCTGTGCAGGTCCTTACGGGGACCCATCTCAGCTAGCGGCTGAATCGTTGGGACTCAGAACCAGCCGCCAGGCTCGCAAGTAGCTGCCATAGGTACGTCGAAGATGCCTGGGATCTTGAGAGCTGAGCATAGCTTCAGAATCTCACCCTGGACGACGAGCAGATTGGGCTCGGCACTTCTTGAAGTCTGCCAGGGTTTCCAAAACCAGCTTCGGGTCCCAGGTTTGCTTCTTCCCTTCCAGCCGGTCAGATACTTGGCACAAATCTGTCAGCACAAAACGTCATGGCGCCATCGTCTGAGAGCAAGGCGATCTCTCAACGCCCGCTGCCTGGCCGTCCGCTTGATCTTCGCTCGCCTAGGCATCGTGTGAGCATAGACTTCATGCCAAGGCTTGCCCCGCAGAACTCACTTTCAGGCCATGCCTTCTGTTTTGCGGCGGCAACGCACAAAACTAGTCTAGGAAGAGTTATGAACTCTTCTGGTCTCGTTCTTGATGCTCCTGTCTAAACAGGTTCCATCTCTGGCGGTTTCTTTCTTGGAACCGTCTTATATTATAGGATTGTTTCTGCCCAAAGAACGCGCAAGATACTTATTGCAAGCTCACCTGTAGGAACTGATGCTCGGAATTGGAACCTTGCCAAGCAACGTGGCTTGGCACTTGAAACCCCAAAATAATCAGAGACTGTCCAGGAAACGATGCAGGCGAAAGCAGCGGCTAGCACAAGTCTCCTTTGAGGCTGCTAGGCGCTTCGACTACAAAAGCGAGAATGGCCGCAACAGCATCGGCACTATCAATGTAGCTTGGCCGTTCCTGTTGCAGCTTCAAACAATGTGGCAGATCACCACGCGTAAAAGGGCGGAGCCCTGCAGGAAACGTCGCTCAAAACTTTCTGCTCTGACAGTGTGCATGCACATCCTGGTCTTCAGCCCAGGTGAGCTGCTATAGATATAAGCTAGCCAGGTCCTTAAAGTTTTGCAAACGGGCCAGGCGCAGAGTTCTGTTTCCGGAACTCGGCTAGCACCACATCGATCAGGGTCTGGCCAGGGAAGACCTGCTCGTGAGCAAGGGTCTGGACATTTTAGCAGGCACAGCCAGGATTCAACCAGGATGGCAGGCAGTCCTGCGTGCCAAAGGTTTTGCGAATCCCGCCTTGGTGCCCTCCTTGGCGGCGCACGCTTCCAGGAGCTTGGAAGGCTCAAAGTAGTCGATCGGCAGGTAATTCGAGTTCTTTGTGAAGCGGTCCTGGGCTTCACTGTGGCTGGATTTTGGCCACTTTTGTTGTATGTTCACCGGCAAGGCTTCCTCAGCTTCCACAGCCCTGCACATGCTGAACTGCCCGCCTTAGCCTGCTGATTGTAGTACTTCACACGCTCCAAGATCTTCTTGAACCCTGCGTAGTTCTCCGCGTAGAACATGGGGCCGCCCTGTCATCTGAGAGCTTCGGTACGCGGCCAAGGCTGCATACTGCAGAAGCGAAGCCGTCAAAGCATGTCAAAACGAGGTGCTAAAGCAATGGAGCACATATGAGCACATACTGAGCTCACTATTCATGACGCATTCCTTGCCTTGGCCGGTGGGAAGCCATAGCCATAGATGTAGGCCAAGTCGATGTCCGAGGACCGCGCCACATAGCCTTCCTGCCATATTCTACCAGATGCAAGCATTGGCTTTGCAAACTCTCAGCAGGGAAAGAGGGCAGTGGCAAGAACTCCCACTTGGGCTGGGTCCTGGGATAGGTGCTTGGTTACGGATAGGTTGGAGGGGAATGTGGATGCGCGCGGGATGAGGCTGGGACGGGCTGCGATGGGTTTTGAGGAGGTTGCCGACTCCGAACTCCGGACTTCAGCAAGCATGTAGGAAGTGATCCATGAGAAATTGGGGGACCGTTTATGCTGATGACGCTGGAAGGGCCTAGTAGGCCATGCACAGCTGACCGCCAAGGCTCTTTCAAAGCCCCCTCAAAACTCACAAAACAGTTATCATGCATCCATCAACTGGCTACAAAGGTTATTTTCCGCGCGGCCATCACAGCGCGTGGACCACTCAGCGCCACGCTCGCTTTCAGGCCTTGTGAGCGTGCCCCAACCCGTGGCCGCCCTGACTCCAGAGCTGCCGTGGCACAACATTGCTTTTTCAAACTCAACTCAACTGCTCGCGGGAGATGATGATGCTGGCCCTGGTAACCCCACCTCCCAAAACAACTGTGTCAAACAAACAGACAACATATTCTAAGGTTGTGCTATGTTGTGCTCGCATGGGCTTGGAGAATCGTGCTCACGGTGGTTTGGGATGGCCCGCTTGGGACCTCACACACAATCTCAGGATTCCCTCGCAGGGCACCGATCGATGCTTGGAAACTGCCTGGAAGAAATACGAACACCCTGGCAACCTCTTTTAAATTAATGAGCTTGCAGCACACATACACGGGGGTCAACGAAGGCTTGGCTGCTGCAAAAAAAGCGGGCTGTGAGTGTATGGCACGTGCGAGGCTGTAGCGATCATCCAGCCCAAGGAACCGCTTCCAAGGCTTTACGGAATATCACACAAGTCTCTCACTGACAAAATTGCGTTTGGTCATCTCTGCGCATCCCCGGACACGTCCTCAAGGATCTTGAAGCCTTCGTTGATCATGGAGAAGAACAGCCTCTCGCAAATCTCCTTCGGCAGTAACGATTTGATCCCTTGGTGGCAAAGTGAAGCGGCTGAAACCCTTGCAAATCTGCCGGTCAGGGCCACCAGAGCGGTCCTCGTCGCTAACTGCCCGTGGAGTCACTCCCTTCATCTTGCGAACCTCATCCAGCTTGGCAACCACCTCGGGATCCACCTGCACGGAACTGTGGCCCGGGCGTTTGTTTTTGCAAGCGCCGTATGCATCATCCATGATACTCCTGGCTGCTCTATGGTCAACCCACGCCTCCTTGCTGCGGCCGCGGTGGATGAAGATACCCCGACCGTTTGCCTTCCAGAGACACATGCTTTGCCTGCCGAGTTTCTCCATCGGCTTGGCAATTCATTTGCAGCCAGGCAATGGCAGGCATGACTGACGCATGCCACACATGTGCGTCCTATGAGTCCCTTGGGACCATTCGCCCTCCCACGGCACCTTGATCTTGGGATCTGGCGTCTTCAGGCCAAAACGTCCCTGCTCACAGAGCCAGTCCTCAACTTGCACTTCTTGGAATGGGACTTGTGCTGAGACTTCATGGATGGCAGAGAAGTCCCTACTGCTTCATGGCTTTCTGGTTTCATGGCTTCTGCGCTTGAATTGTGTTGCAGGACATCTCACAATTACGCTGGCGGGCAGTCAACTCGTAGGGGCCGTAGTAGGTCTTGGTCTGCTTCTTCATGTCCCCGGCCGCCTGACCACAAAATCCCACAACTTGGAAAGTTGCAGAAAATGCGGCCGGCATCGACTAGCCTTGCGCTGTTTCCAGAAGAGCTCCTGGCCCACCAAGTCGCCCAAGGCCATTGGGCCCATGGCCATACCTTAGGTCGTCAAGCCCGACAACAAACGCTCCATAATGCTCCATACACTTGAATCCATCAACTGACATGTAGCACCCACTGCCCTAGCGGACTTGACTAAGAGCACAAACCGATGAAGCGGCGCAAGTCCAACAATAAGAAGGAACCATCATCAACTGCCAGGCTGCCGAACTTCTGGGCTGCGGCATCCACCTGCTCAATGCTGGCGCCTGCATCGACATGCTCGACCCCAACCAACTTGTTGCGTAATTCAAAGTGGACTGGCATGCCCGCAGGGATGGGGTGCAGTATCCATGCAGGCTCTCCGCTGCGGCTGAACTTGTGCTGACTTGTTCATGGCAGCATGACAGCCCACGAGATATCATTGACTTGCAGCACCCGGAGTGGCATGTCATCGTCGCCGCCAGTCAGGCGTATGGACAGACCAGAAACATGTAATTGAGCGAAGCGAAAAAATGAAGCTGCTCATGAAATCGTGTTGATGACAACATTCCGCTTCTCACAGAAGTTTTCCCGGCCAAAGGCTTTTGATGGATTTTGGTGGTTTGCTGGGGGCAGTTCACAGCCATCACCCGCTGCCCAACGAAGACAGCTAATTATCGTCTGCGGCGATGTCAGCCATGTTCGGAACAAATGACTCGACTTCTGCATGCGAGTGCGCACCTCTTTTGAGGCCTGTCAGGCCATAGCCTGGAAACAGGTCCACTGGCGCCTCTACACAGAGCCGCCCCGGACATATTCTTTGCCAAGAAAGCCAGGGTTGCTTTTCCCCCCAAGTTTTGAAGTTTTGGTGTGTCGTTGGTTGTGTTTGGTTCCATCGCGGGTTGTACTGTGTCTTCTTAGCTTGAGCATGCTTGACCATCGGCGGCCCGTTGAATGCCTGCTTCCAAAAAAAAACATGTGAGCAGTTCACGAGCAGGGCTGCCACACTTTCCACCGAGTATTGCAAAAGTGCTTTGTGAGTTGCTCACAGCGTGCCGCTAGAAAGCCACAAATCCGGACAGCAACGACAGCAAAACCGCAACCTGATGAATGCCCGACCAGCGACCTCCAGGACCCTCAATGCAAGCATGCTAGCCACAGCTGGATCATGCCTCGAACACGTGCGCTTGGTAGGCAACTTTGGCGCACAAATGAGTCAGCGGGGGACGAATGAATGCAAGAGAGGGAGCAAGCTACCCGGTGAGCAAGTACATTAGTGAGCAAGCCATTGAATGAGTAAGCGTAAGTGCGCGGGTACCACATGTAGATGTGCATGTGCGTGTATGGTGTGAGAGGTTCCCGCACTGCCCTTGCCATAGGCAAGGTTTGATGCTGAACTCTACTACTGGAGCCCT